GTGGCAATCAAAGGGATATAAGTCAATATTATTAACAACTACTACTAACTACAAGAACAGAGAGGGAAAAGCAATATTTTGGAAATATTTCATGAATGGTTCCCACACAAGAAAGGATAATGATATAATTTAACAAGCAGCATGGAGTGCTATCTATAACTCTCCCCAATAGTTGTGTCAATAAACTGGGGTCCTCATCGACTTTTGATGCTGATCACCATTTGTTTCTTGCCTTCTCTCTCTTACTTCCACTAAACAACACTGTTATAGAGATTACCTCCTCAGCTACAGATTTAGCAGAAACTCTTTTAAAATGTCCTCTGTAGTTATAGCACATCTAGCTATGACATTTTCTTTTATCAATTTAGATGGCAGATAGAAAGCCTTGGGTTCACACAAGCTTGTTGCTTTATGATCTCTGGGTGAATATTGCAGTATTTTCTTGGCAGATAATGCAGTAATTCATGACTGACAATTTTTATTTGTTATTGACTTCGGTCCAACTGAAATTAATCATAATCAAGATCCAACTGAACAATTAATCTTGTCTATGTTATACTCCATTTGTTACAAAGAACCTTAGTCATAACTCATTTTAGCTAACCTGAGGCTGATATATTTTCATGTATGACTTTTACTGTGCTATTCTTATTGGTTTTATTTTAAATTTTCTATGATTTTCCCTTTATGTTTATATTTTGAGAATCAGTCAAGCAAACTAGAGATTGGTTTGCTTGACATAATTCAAAGAATTATGTCTCTAATTCTAGCATTAGCCCAAAGTCAAATTTCTTTTAGAATTTAAGAGAAATTTCCAAACATCAAGGACATTCCAAAACAAGTTGTAACATAAAGTTTTTCAAACTGTTTTTCATGGAACTCTTGATGTGATTCCATAGGACCAAGAGGAGCAGGAAGAATGAGGGTCAAGGTATCCATAGCAATTTTTCTAAGGAAAAACAATCTAATCCCAGTCATTGTGCATTGATTTGTTTGTTTGGGTGATATATTAATATTCCAAGTAATTTTTAATCTTTGTACATTAGAAATATTATTTTATATTCATAATATCAGTTTGTTTTTCATACTTCAAAATAATAAATAAAGGATCTTTCCTGGTTGGTAATTGGAGCATCCATTTTTGTAAAGTTCAAATTACTTAAATACATACATTTGATTACATAAATTACAACCCTGTTAGTTTTATTGCCAAATTTCTATCTTTAGACCTTTGCCTCTTTATCAGGGTTCTTGGATTTTTTTAAAAATTAAGGTTACCCTGAAAGCCTCTGTTACATGGCAACTTTTGCTTTACAAAAAATAGCACATTTTCTTTTATCAAAGCTTATTTGATAATCTTTAGATTTTAAACCAGACGTCCCCAAACTCCAGTCCATGGACCGGCACAGACTCTGACATGCCAGCAACCGTGTTGCATAAACAACCAAAGCCCCATCCATGGGATGCAAGCAATATGCAAAACCACACTCCCTCTGGTCCACAGATAACCCTTTCTCCATGGCACTGGTCCCTGATGCCCAAAAGGTTGGGGGCTGCTGGTTTAGACAATTGATTCTACATGCATTTGAACAGACAGCAAAATAAGGTGTAGATAACTTTAGAAATTTATACTATACAGAATAGCCATTGTGAAGTTCATATAAAGGAAATAAATGAATACCAGCAAATGACTGATGAAATACGCAGTTTAGGTTGCATGATCTCTGTGACTGTGAACACTAAATAATTATATACAATTGGCATAAAATCTCTGCCTAATTGTGTTAAGTGTCACTTTAAACCCTAACATGACCTTCAAGTCAACATGATTTAGTGAATGTTAAAACTGCATTTTCATTTTTGACAGTAATGAGATTATTTTTCAGACAAAGCGTAAGACCTTATCTAACACTGAATCATTACATGATAAGCAACTGAACATAAGTACTGTAAAAATAAATATACAATTGCTATTTAAATGTCTCTTGCTTAAGATATTAGATATTTATACTCTACGGACTGAAATATTTATGTAAAGGTCAAATAAAACTGCATTCCAAAGGCAACATTTATTAAAGTTTTTATCAAACTGTTCCTACACAAAGAAGGCATCCACACTTAAAAGATAGAGAGCACTAATCTATTTGCATTCTGTTATGATGTCAGTGTCACCTGGAACAACATGTCTCAAAAACATTCGTTTCAAAGTATTGTATAAGAAAGGTATTTTGAAAGCTTGAAAGCATAAATATATGTTAATAAGCTGTTAAACTACCCATATTTTAAAATAAAAGTTTTGCATATTGGAATTTAAAAGATTTTGTAATAAGATTGAACATAATAATATTATTATGATGCTAAATGAGCCAGCTGACAAAAATGTCATTGTGCTATTGCTTATAAGGAGTACTAGTATTCTAGTCTTAGCAGCTGTTATTCCCAGTAATAATTTGCATTTGATGCAGAAAGAACGTAACAGTTCAGTACTTAATTGCTTGAAGAATGGGGCATAATAAGTATTGCCATTTCAGTAACTTCATGCAAACTGTATTCTATTGTTAAGTGTTTTAAGGTGGCTACATCAAGCAGCGAATTCTGGGGCACAATAAAAACACCAAAATTGTTACTTAACTGGTGTCCAATGCAGGGAACCAGAATGACACAGTGAAGTTTCTTTATTGCTACTCGCCCATTTATAGGAAGTGCATTCTTCTGGGAACAACCAGATAAGGGATCCTGGAATTTGGAGGGCGGGGGGGGGGGAGGGTTCAAGTCTCCATTGCTTCCTCCCCTGCAGGGATTTCAAGATAGCCAGTCTCTTAACTCCTGACCAATCTAGCTGCAGATTCTGCCACAACTGGTCCATTTTATTTTTTATTGAGGACAATGCTTTGGTCTTGGGTGTGAAATTAACAGGTGTCAATATGCTGTGCCTTAGGTGGTGAAGTTACAACTTTGCTTGAATCTCAGGCCAGAAGCTAAATAGGCAGATGTGACAGATTATCACTTTATGGCAGCCAAGAGACATGAGTCTGAACAAGACTGAGTTCAGGTAACGAGGAGGTAGATTCTGGACGGTGCCTAATTAAAGAACATGTTGCAGCTACTATGGGCTAAGCAAGGAGACGATCAGCACATCACCTTGAAAAGAGAAACATAATGTTCTTGCTCAACTTCAAAACATGCCAGCTTCTGAGGTTATATAAAAACAACTTCCAAGCCCTTGCCCTCCAAACAGTTGAAATTGCTCCTAGCTCTTCATTTTGGCTAATCTTGACCTTTGTACCGACTTGTGGAATTCTCTGATACTGACATCCTGGTTTGTTGCAGGGAACTCTTTCTTCTCCTAGCAGGTACCTCATATTACAAGGCAAGATATAGACCTTTTAAAGTCTTAAGTGCTCTCTGGTTAATTACTCACTTGACACAATTATCAGAAATAAACCACAGTATTTAAAAGTATTTAGCCTATTGTCCACTGCAATACTAACTATACATACTATAGCAGAATTTTCTCTGAATATTTGGGTTTTCTCTTTTCTTTCGTTTTTACTTTTTAATACAACGGAATCTTAGAAACAAAATTACATAAAGAGCTTTGGGTTTATATTATTTGTCCATTAACAGGATTCCCCAAGAACAGAATGGGATCAAATTTGGTGGTGGTGGCGGCAACAATAAGTCAGAAAAAGGAATACAGAGTTTCAATGTAGGATGAGATTAGATGGGACTATAGAGGAAAAAAAATATGGAGAAAATAAATTGTCTAATACTTTCCAATGGGAGAGTCATTGGGTAGCAGGTTGGAAGACTGCTGACCATCCAATTATGAAGCTCCACCTTCCCTAGTAGCATGAGCCAGAGTGGAACTGCTATTAAGGGAAAAAAATCTGTAAGAATTCTGCATGCTTCCCCTACTTATTGTGCTTTAGCAATAATTAATGATATTTAATGGATGTGGCCCTATTGTCTTCAGCATATCTACTGAGAATGGTCTCTTTGTGTTTGCGTGCATCCTGGGAGTGATTATCCATGGGATATTAAAAGGTACTTCATAATAACTTCCCATGATACTACTAAAATGTGTGGCTTATGAATTAATGAATAGTGAGGTAAAAATAACTATACCAATCCTTAGTATTGGCAAGTATTTACTCTGTGAACCAACCTAATTCTAAATTAATTACTTAAATTCTTATGGAGTTATAAATTAAGCTACACATATGACAAAATAAAATTATCATGTAGGAGTTTTCATTTTTTTCTGCCCAAATTATTTAGGTACTAATTTTACTTGGCATTGAATTTAGCTGAATTCACTGTTTTATCCATGTTAATATGCTGGTGAAATTTCTTCTTATTCTTTGTTAGGCATTGATTTTAGAATTTTATTCCTGAAGTGGTTAACACTGAATTTCTATTTTTTTTTTAATTTTAGAAGGGCGTTTAAGAATTAAATATTTTTAAGTATTCAAATTGATACTAAAAGAAAAGGATACCATGGTCTTGTTACCTGAGTCACTTCTTTACATTCCTCCCGTCCTAGGATCCTTCCACCCTCCCCTTTTCGTTTTCCTACCTATTTATATTCTATATCAATGATAAAAGGAACTGATTTGGACAAAATGTCTCTCAAAGAGATTTAAAATCCTTTCCTATCCAAACAGGACATTAACTTATTGAAAATATCTTCTGGGAGAAAATGCTGACTTGTTAAGAACTTGCTTTAAATATTCATAATGGCATAAAATAATGAAGCAATTAATTCTAAAATACTTACACTGAAATCTTATTCTATTCAACAAGCTTACTATGTCATTTTTTTTAAGGAATTCAGTATTACTTTCTGAAAATTTGTCTTATTTCTTTTGGAATTACGTTAATTTATGTTTCATATTTATAGACAGAAGTTGTATCTCCCAGGAGTTTATTCCAACCCATTAATATTGTCAATCTAAATTATCAATGAATCAGCCCCTGAGAAACCTGGGGGTCATTACCTCATATTCTTGGGAAAATTTCAGGTTGTCATTTGCCTTCAGTCTTTCAATGTGATCTGCAAGTTCCAAAATAGGTATTGGTGGGTGGCTAGCCATACCTGTTAAAGTAGAAAAAAGATGAAATTGAAAAATAATGAAAGACAAGTACTAATATTCAAATTTTAAAAAATATAACAATTAAAATGGCTATAAAATGTGTAAATAGTAAAGATGTTTTAAGGTGATAGAAGCAGGCATATAGTTTAGTCACTCAAAGCAAGACATGCTCTGAAGCAAGATTACTAAACAAAAATTTAAAAAAATCAAGCAATTTTCCCAAACAACCATTCTCTAGTGTTAGAATGACTATATACATATATATTTATATATATTATAATAATGTAAATGTATATATAAATATATCTTTACACACACATATATTATGCCAAAGCTTAATGGTTAGCTAAGAGCAAAGAATGAGATAGTTAGACCTTATGTTCATTTCTCTTTGAATAATGATTCTTAATGTCATATATAATCCCTTGTCTTGAACTGTGTGAAATGGAAATGGTGTTGGACTTAGGTGAACAGAACGTGAATCGAAGGCAAGGAGAAACCAATCAAAGAGTCCTAAAGAGTTAGAACAGTTGAGACAAAATAACTTATGAGGAAAACTAACTTGAAGAATGTAGGTTACCAGGGTAACCAGAGAAACTTGGTCCTGCAAAAAGAGATTTCAAAAATAAAACAGGGGAAGAAAAAAACTCATGTGTAATTATAAAATTGAATGAAATGAAATAAATGAATAGCTTGGTTCTTAAGAAAGTAATTATTGTATTTCAAGAATTGGAGAAGTTGATTAAGACAAAGAATAATCTAATGATTTTTCAAAACATGTTACAAAAATTTAGGACATTCACGTGCAGCTATGGATAGTCAGAGTAAACATGCATTGCAGCAACATGAACAACAGTCAATAAAGACAAGATTGTACATCAGACATTTAAAGCTTCAAAAATGTTTCCACTAGTAGCAGATTGTAGTGGCAGGGGTTGTACAGAATCAGTTTTGTGAAACACAAACATGCAGTTCACCCTACTTTCTCAGAGAAAAGATAAAAATTTCAACCCCGTCCCTTTATCAACCCCCAGAGATTACCTACAATCTACTTCAGGTGTAAACATCTTTGTCTACAGATGGAAAAACAGTGAACATTGAGAAGGGTCAGGGAAGGAATGGAGTGGGATGAGATGGGATAGAAAAGCAACAGGGTAAATTGGAGAAAGGGGCAAAATGGGGTCAACTAGCATGATCTGCCGAGCTAAAGATTTTAGCAAATCCACAAGTATTTGCTCAAATGTGTCTATTTTTTCAACTGCTCATGGTGGATGAGTTTCCACCCATTCAATGTATTTCCCATATTGTAAGCATGCCTAGAGTAGCTTGTTGTAAGGAGACATAAAATTGGCGAGAGTTTTAAACTAGCAAACCCCAGAAGTACGGACATTATGTGTAAACAAAAGAAAGATGGCAACTGAAAGGAGGAGTGGGGGGCTCAAGCTGGAAGCCATATTTTCCACAGGTCAGGCTGTTTCATCACTGCAACTTTGAAAGATGTATTCTACAAAAGATAGTTTGCATGATGCTACACAGCTTTATGTGTCATGATCAGGAAATGATGATATAAAGATATAAATTACATTTGCTATGTCCTTACTAGGGTTATAGAATTCCTGGCTTAATAAAGGAAGGGTCATCACCAGCATGTCATTTAAATCCTGCTGGTGGTATTGAAGATAGCACTACAGAAGATAATATGATGTGGCAGAACTAATTAGATACAGTTCTTCAACAGTTTGGTAAGCATACGAAGTGCCCACACATTATGGAAACTACTTTCAGAAAGGAAAACAACAATGTTTTTATTAATTTGGGAGATGTTTTAGTATCTCTCATATCTTCATATGGATTATTTAATCTGGGTGATTTGTTTTAGAAATAGCCAACACATTTTTTAAATCCAGATCGAGCATCCCAGTGATACAATATAGAAAGAAAGACAAAAAAAGGCACAAGAAAATGCTAGGCTTATTCAGAGATGGAAGTTGAATAATGGAACATCTAAAACAGTGAACAGAGAAAATAATAGACAAAGATGTTTAGACCTTTTCGAGCGAATCGTGGGAGAGAGTTATTATCATATAAGGATTGAGTGGTAGTTTGGCTAGAGAGGGAGGACACAGAGCCAATCAGGGAGGCGTAGGGGACTGAATTACTGCTCAAAGCTGTAAAAAGTAAAGCCAATTGGAAATGGGAAAGAAATTAGTAACAGCAGTACACCATCATATTAAGTCAGTTTTTACAGAGACCAAGGTACTATTCTGCATGCACAATACAATGTGGACATTCAGAATTGAGAAAGAGACAGAAAGGTCAGACTAGCCTAATTTGTTCATATACAGAACCAAACAGCTGTATTAGAGGATCATATTATAGCAGAACTGGATCTCAATACTCAATTTTATATTATTGAAAACAGAGACATCATTGATATGAAATAATAGGTAAGTTATAAATAATAAGCCTCAAATGCAGGCTTATACAGAAATAACAAAATCTTCAATGGTGCTCACTCTTTAGTAGAGATAAGTCGTCCAAGATGTTAAAACCATGTCCCATGATTTTAACTGTTTTTATTGTATCCATATTGAAACATCTCAGACAAGAATTCCTTCTGTATTTTTCTATTTATATGAGCATTATCCTTCTACAGGGAGACATTTGATTCCTATCAAAACGTGGTACACAATTTGTTCACTTGTTTAAGCGAAGGAATAAGTTTATTTAAGAAGAAAACTAAACCACTTCTAGAATCAATCATCTATTATTATTATGTTTATGAGTTACATAAAATGATGCCTTTTCTTGAATTTCACAATAATCTCATCAAAGGAAATAAATAGAAAAGTAGTACAAGTGTGTGCGGTTTTCTTTCTTTCTTTTCTTAAATTTCTACCTTTTATTTCATACCCACTGTTTATTTATCATTTATACATTCTAAAGCATACTGCATACAGTATGAGTATAATTTATAATTATTTAGCTTTAAAATGAATTTGCTTTTTTGCTATACAACTGCGACTAAAGGTCAAATAATGGTCAAGAAATTTCAACTGGTAATGGGCTTCTGCATTCAAGAGTCCATTTTAACTTAAATACTGTAGAATACAGATGGCTTGATGTTATGAATCTGGAAAGCATCCACTGTTGATGCATATTTGCATGACAATGTATCCTAAGAGCATTTTTATTAACAGATATGGGTGGAACAGCATATGCCAATGTTTTCTTCCCTCCATACTGCCCCATTATATTAAAAGAGAGAAGGGAAAATATAAATCAAACAACACAGAAATGGAAATTATGTAGCCCTGGTGCAAGCCACACAATAGCAAAAACATGCATGTATCAGATTTCATTGTCAAGCATCCCATTTGCCCAGGTATATTAGAGATACAGTATTCTTCAGTTACTAGCTACATTTATTCTCCGGTAGTACATGCTTCTGAAGAAAGTGATAATTTTATAATGCACATAAAGAAGCTATGATATATGCAAACAAAAGCACACGAGCAGTAGCAGCATTCTTGTCATTCATCTCAAGGATTAAAAATGCTAAATTTTCACAGTTGCTTAGCTTCCCATGGGGAACAAAAGTAAGAAAGCAAATACACCTTAAGAACAGGTTCACTGAAGATGGGTTTCATGGATATGTATCATCTCTTGGGGTTAAGCACCTTACTGATTATTTTAGAAAACATCATGATGTTGTCTTAAATTCTCCCCCAGCCTATTATAAACTACTCCATCTTTAACCTTACCACCTTATGCTATATGAACAATCAGAGATGCTTGCTATATAACACAGATTCTGATACAGTCAAAGGCTAGGTTCTGGCCACCTTTTATTGACCCCTTTTGGCTGCTGCAAGGATGCTCCCTTGCCTTCAGGTTGCTGGGGACCTCCCTTAATGGCTACTTTAGTTTTGAAAGCAAAAAGAGAATGAGGATATCTGGTTCCATATAGGTGTGCCTGCATAATGCTTGACCAGGGCTTTGCAATGCATAGGTCAAATGTTATCAAGACTGCTTATATACATGTGTCTAAAAGACACATGTCATCTCTCAAAAGACCATTAGGCTTAGGTAAAAAAAAAAAGGTCCCCATGGCATAGCAGCATTGATTTGTCCTTCTGGCTTCATTCAGCACTGCTCTTTTGACAGGGTGTTTTTTTTTTCTTTTACAATAAAGAGAAACAGGTAGAGTAACATCATGGACAGATTAAGACTTTATATTTATCACCCTCAAGAGGATGGACATGTCCCAAAATAGACATGTATCTGCTGCTGCTAGTTGCATGGAGCAACAATTGCATGGAGTAACTTGTAGAATGGGAGAAAGCTGCCATATATGCCCCGTTTTATATCTTCTGGTATCTGCTTGTTACACAAGTGACTTTGCATATGGACATGACTGGAAGAAACAAAGAAAGATAACAGAAATGCTATAGTTATTACATCTGATCAAGGTTGTGATCAAGGTTTTGGTTAGAGATGACTGGATCAATATGTACAATCTCAATCCTACTGCTCATGGATTCATTTGACATAGATTTATTTATTTATTTATTATTATTATTATTATTATTATTATTATTATTATTATTATTATTATTATTATTATTATTTTTCTATACCGCCTTTCTCCCGTAGGACTCAAGGCGGTGTACAGTCAAGAAAAATATAGATACACAAATATCATAAAATTGCTAATTAAAATTATTATTATAACATAGTTTGGCCCAATTAAATAGAACCTAAAATTAGATAACATTTTAAAAACATTCACATGTTCATATGTTTAGCCCTGCCTTTTGGAACATCAGGGTTTTGAGGGCACGTCGGAAAGCACAGAGATCAGGGATATTTCGTATCTCAGGGGGCAGTTCATTCCAAAGGGTTGGAGCCCTCACAGAGAAGGCCCTCCCCCCGGAAGTCGCCAGTCGGCATAATTTGACTGACGGTATCCGGAGTAGTCCCTCCCTGTGAGAACGAACTGGTCGGTTAGTTAATTTAATTAAATATTAAGAAGAAAAGGTTTATTAATTAATAACTTAAAACTTTAGGAATTAGCTTGATTTTACATTTTTTAAAATTAAATTACAGTTGTGCTGCTGTAAATATAAACAATATTAAAACAATCTGATTACTTCTACCAGCAACTTTTGCAATGTTTCTTTTTGAATCTTTTTTCTGTGATTTTCAATTATAATGGAACCAAACTCCTTTCATCTATAATGGGTATAACCCCCAATAATGAAAAAGCTGCAGTTCATCATATGCTCCAAAATTTAGTGAAGGTTCCTCTCAAGGAAGAGACTGAGAAAGTCATTTGAAAATTCTCCTTCCTGTAGTCATAAAATACCACATCAAATTGCAAAAGAGATAATGAGAATTTGGATATTTACCCCTCCAGTATGGTCTCGACATATCTTCTGTGAATACAAAACTGAATCCAGCTTAGAAATTTTTGAATAGACACAACTCAATTGGATTGCCTTGCGCCCTTTTACTAAGATATTAGTTCTATTCAGATATTTGAAAACAGTATAAACCAATATCTGGTTACTTCTGAAGAGTTAGAAGAAGAAGTAGTATATATTGGACATTTTCCCTATTCATATGGACAGAGAGGCCTTTAAATTTATCACACTAACTGTGACAAAGAAGAACAAAGGGCAAATGTATTGATTGTATTCTCCTTTTACCTTTTCATATGTTGGTTAAGTGAATTTCTTAATGTCTGAAAAGCAATTTTCAATTCATTTTGTTAAAAACACAGGTACTATATGGAGGAAGTTTGTGTTGATTTACTCATTGAAAACATTTGTACATTACTTCCCATTAAAAAGTCTCAAAGTGCTCAAGTTTAAAAATCTCAAATTGTGTTGAATTTCCTGCCATATTGAAATTTATTTTAGAGACATGAGTAAGATTAGAAAACTATGAAACGGTCATTAAATTCAAAGCAACAGTAATTCCAACTGTCGCTGATAGTTCTTCAGTTGTTGCAATGTTGTTCAACAAATAATTTGTTAAAACTTTTGGGTTTTACTTTCCTTTTACCTTAACTCTTTTCATTCATCATGTCTTCATTGTTCTTTTTGTATTCTCATATCAAAGTAAAATATGTCAAGGAGTGAAACTAAATTTGAGAAACTGAGAAGACAGATTGTTCTCATTCTCACAAAACATATTATAGGTTAAACTCAGGACTTTCATTGTGCATTAGATAAAGTGCACTCTGGATGATTTAATCCAGAGTACATACTGCTTGTAGCATTACTGAGCTGCATGGGTCAGGCAGTTGATCTCAAACATTTCTCTTTTGTATGTAAGTACAAAGTAAATTGTACAAGTAAATTGTTTGCTTTACTTAATGTAAACATAAAAGCCATGCCCGTAAGATTTGATCTATGATGATAGTTTACATACAGGCAAATAATGGAGTGATAAGCATGCATGAGTAAATGGATTTCCAACCGAGAACTGGGCATAAGACAAACAATATAGACTTTAACAGTGTGTATATCTAATATATATTCATATAGCATATATCCAATGCTAATAATTCAATACTGAAAGCATAATTTACTTAATACTAGAAAGTTACTGTAATTCTATACAGCATGAAAGCTGCAATGCTGGTATAACATACAGGTAGTCCTTGACTTACGACCACAATTGAGCCCAAAATTTCTGAGACATTGCTAAATGAATTTTGGCCCATTTTACAACCTTTCTTGCCAAAGTTGTTAAGTGAATGACTGCAGTTAAGTTAGTGACACTACTGTTAAGTGAATCTGGCCTTTCCCTTGATTTTGCTTGCCAGAAGGTCTCAGGATACTGCAACCGTCATAAATATGGACCAATTGCCAAGAGTATGACTTTTGTATCATACGACCATGGGGATGCTGCAATAGTTGTAAGTGTGAAAAAATGTTCATAAGTCACTTTTTTCAGTGCCATTGTAACTTTGAACAGTCACTAAATGAACTGTTGTAAGTCAAGAACTATCTGTAGTTATTTCTTAACTAACCACTTTCTTTTTCTCTTGAGCCTTTTAATAGTTTTTCCTATTACCTTTGGCTTTTTTCCTTCCTTCTGGTATTGTACATTTTTAAAGAATTTTAAATCCTCATCAAGATGAGATTCTAATTAAGACAGTACATGGAACATTTGAGGGAGGAAGGACATGATTATCTTGAATTTATGAACACCATTAAATATCCCACTAGTCTATCTCATAACTATGGACTTCTAAAAATAACATTAATTAAAGACGAAATATGATTAATTTGGTACATCTCACTAGCATAAACCCAACAGGAAAGAAGCACAGTTTGAAGTAGAATTAAGTAGAATGAAGTAGAATTTTTTAAAAACTCAATCTTCAATAATCAACAGAAGCAACATAATCAAAGATAATTTTTTTTCATACAGTATTTACTCCTATGAAATTATGAAACACCAAAATCATCTATGGCGATATGTTGTTTAAATAATTAAAATAGAATATTTGCAAATTACCTGGAGTTTGAAAATTTAGGCGTCTTAGCTCTACTGGATCTGTGGGATGATGTGAAGGAATTTCTTTACTGTTGGGGATACTGTTCTTTCTAGAGTCTGTGTCTGCCCTTTTCCTGCATAGAGAAAGTGAATACAATCTTTAAGATGATTAATCACGAATTTAGTTATTTATTGTTGATATCACTACCCCTGTTGCCAAAGCAACACTACCAAACCATAATTATGTACTTTCTGATATATTGTTTTTGGTATACACTTAGGATTTTAAAACATCAATACAGAAACCAAGTTTTGTAGAATTAATGAAAATTACACAATTATGATAATAGAATAATCTGTTATGAAACATGTTGCATGTGTTTAATTTTTTGGTGAATGTAGGACAATCAAAAGATAATTAAATATGCCTGAATACTGATAAAAATTAAGAACAATCAGTGTACCATTAAATGTTACACTGCACTGTGCACTGATTTCAATAACATTTGTACACGTTTAATCTATGAAATGAACCCAGTGATTATTGAAACCCCAAAATTTATGGAACCTTAAATTTAGTTTTTAGTTTTTTCTAAAACTATTTGAAGAAAATAATTTTGGTTCATGTTCAAACTATTGGCTATTGCCTAATTCCTCTGCCAATTTTTTGAATTGTACCATTATATTTAAGATGATGCAAGCTGATTTTATGTTAGCATAAGCAATACCCCAAAAGTATATGTAAGATTGAACAGGTTTTTTTTTTTTACAAGCTCTATGAATCTCTATGCTGAGTGTTATTTTATGGTATCTTGATTTTTTTATACCATATTTACCTGATAATGAGATAAATGTTTTATTTCAAAAAATTACTTGTAAATTGGGGTCACCTTTTTTTCTGATGATGTGGTTGAAAAAGTGAATTAATATGAAGTTGAAATGTCTTCTGATGTTACCTTTGAGAATACGATTAGCTATGCCCAAGGTTAGGGAGGAAACCCTAACCTTGCTGGTCTCTGGTGAATTTTAATACCTTCTTTCCCTGTCTACATATTTAATCTCCATGTAATTTTGTTTTCTTATTTCTCTTTGTTTCCCTGCATCTATCTTTCTTCTTGTTCTATTTTGCTGTTTCTAGTGGAAGGAGGGAAGCAGGAGTGGGTGTATTTACCTGTGTTTCTGTGCATGAATATGTGTTCACGTATGTGCATGTGAAAGGATAGATGATATAGTAGAATACAACAATTAATTTTATAAATGGGATAGCTTATTTTACAGGCCATTAATTTTAGTCAGTAGCTTTGAATGCAATCCCTGTAAGTTTGTTTAGCCCTCTCTTTTGTTATTTTTAAGTGTAGCTTCGAGCAGGCTTTCAAACAAATATATGAGTATGTATAAACATGTACTAAAGAGTTGAATACACACATTTACCAGAGCATATTGGGTTCCAGGACCAGTCTAAAGTTTAATCTTAAATCCACAAAATGGGATCTGGACAGAGAGCAGGATTTTCTAAAACTTTTTTTTAGTTTAGCCTTCATTGTTTTTTATATATTTCATCTTCCTTTGGGAGAAAAAAAATATCTTAAACTTCAGGTCTGCCTCCTTTTCCAAACAGTACATATGTTTGGATTCCTTTAGACTGACAAATATTTTGTTTGGAAACTCAAACAAGCTATTTTTAAACTGTTTTCTCATTTTCCCTTTTCGGAGAAAACGGAAAGCAAGTTTTTTAAAAAATTTATCTCACCTGTCAGGTTTACTGCTCCATTATTAAGCGGCAGAAAAAAGAGAGAAAAAAGTTGAATGTTAGTTGGCCAATGGCAAAGTAAGTTACCGTGACAGAAAATGCTCTTTCACAATTAGGGTACAGATCTAGTAGCCCCTAACACCTTACTGAATTTGATGTAAACATTCTCTACTTGTAGGAAAAAGAATCTCTTTGGAGTAAAGAAACCGAAGTAATAATCCATCATATTTCTTCTCTTGTCTTGCTTTGCCTCTTATAAAAAACAAATAAAGCCATCTTCTTTTCCCCCCGTAAGAATATATTATTTTCCCTAGTAGAAAGTATGATTTTTTCCCCCAGCCAGTTGTCAAACATGGAACAAATTTATATAGCCAGACATGGTAATGTCAAAAAGAACAAATAGCATGATGATAACAGTGTCAATTGGCAAGAGATGAAACTAAAATAAGGCACCTGAAAGCATAAATTGCAAAATCTACTCCTTGATTCCAAGAAAAAAAAATTACACTGACAATGAGATTGTATTCTTTCCTGAGAAATTATTGCTCTTGTATGGATTTTTTTACAGAAATCTAGAAGAGACGTCTGGCCTGGATGATACCTTCATCTGTTAAGAATGAAATACCAATTTTATTCTATGTCTAAAAAGAATCCTAAAAAAGAAGCTTCTTTTTTAATCTAAAAATATTTGCAACACAATGAACACATCTAAAGCCTGCCCTTCTCTATACACTATTTTGTAAACTTACCTTTTATAAAGTAGAATAGCTATAACAATACAGATGATAAATACAACTGCAAGGACTGGTCCTACAACCCAGATCAAACCCTCTTCCTCTTCTGTAATTGGCTGGGGATTAAGATCCACTGATACAACTGTTTCAGAATATGGGCTGGTTGCATACATGGTCTGGATGGGAGAAAAATCTGACTTAATAACATAGTGGGGAATGTAAGACATTCTATTGCATATATATTTAGAACTAGCCACAACAAACTTTCTTGCCTTCTCACAGTTAAAGATATAGCTTGGCAAGACTTTTCAAACAAAAGTAGAAGAGGGATTCCTGAGATGATTATTCTCAAACATAACTATAATTGTAAAAGAATATTAAAGTAAGAAAACGTTTTGCAATTAACAATATACTTGGGAAAAACAACTACAATAAGCCTTTAACTAAAATGAATTAAATTCAACAAAGCCAACCTACATGTGACAGGTTAACAACCAATTTGAAAAAGAAAACATGTAACTTGCAAATTGAAATGTTAATATTGGCTGCTTTTCTTTCCCAACAGCCTCTTTCCCTTCCTTTTTTATTTTTAAAAATATACTGCTCAAAAAAATAAAGGGAACACAAGCAGAAGACATCCGAGATTTAAATGAATGAAATAGCCTTATTAAATACTTTGTTCGTTACATACCGTAGTTTATACACTGCTCAAACAACTAAAGGGAACACAAAACTACTGTATGTAACGAACAAAGTATTTAATAAGGCTATTTCATTCATTCAGATCTCGGATGTCTTCTGCTTGTGTTACCTTTATTTTTTTGAGCAGTGTATATTAAAGTTAAAATAATTCAAGCATGTAACGAACATATGAAACAGATAAATTGCACAAAAGTACAATTAGTTATTTAAATCAATTCAGGAATTCTACTTTTTCTTACAATATTTTTTTTTCTCCAATTTTTATTTATAAATATAAACTAAACAGAACAATGAAACGTACAAAACATAAAAACATATAAACATCCATTTCAATACATGTCCAGTTTGTCACAACTATAATATACATTTCTCTTTGTATTTTGACTCTTCCTTATTTGGTCATTCCCTTTTATCTATCTAATATTGATCTTTGTTAACCTATGTTTGTTCTTTGTTTCCATCATATTATATTTGGTCATTTTATTTACTTCCTATTGCTTCATCTCTTTCCTATCTTTCAACCAACTATACAACTTTTCCCATACTAAGTAAAAGTCATGTTCTTCCCTATTTTGTAATTCCTTTGTGAGTCTATCTAATTCCGCACATTCCATAATTTTATTGATTACTTTATCTGGTGTTGGTATATCACTACACTTCCAGTGTTGCGCATATAGTATTCATGCTGCTGTTATCATATGTATAATTAAATAGGTTGTTTCTTTTTCATAGTATCCATTCACTATGCCTAATAAGAAGCTTTCTGGTCTTAGTTCTATCTTTTGGTGTGTTATTTCCTCTATTTGTATTTTGATCCTTTGCCAATATTGTTTCGCCATTGGGCAGGTCCACCACATATGGTAATAGGTGCCTTTGTGGTGGTTGCATTTCCAACATTCTTACAATATTTTCTAATTCTGTTACATTTCACTGTTGGTCTGTGGCAAAATACTGTAAATAAAGAAGTCCGCTTTGCATTTCTTGATTAGTTCCTGTTTTCCCAAAAATGTTTCATAAAGAACAACATTGTCCGGACAATATGTTTTGAGACAAGAAAGAGGAAAGATTAGGTGTAAAATTCATGCCTCGGTAATTATCAGATATTTCAAGAAGCAAAGCAGAAAATATAGTATAATGATTAAAATGAGACCAACTGTTTACTCTGAGAAATGGAAATACTTAAGATTTAAACCTATCATTATTTTCTATGCCAGTTTTTAATATATGTCTTATTCAGTCATTACTGAATGTATTGACAGGGGAAGGTTACTGCAAAATCCCCATTTCCTCCTGATCAGCTGGGACTTGGGAGGCAGAGAATAGATGGGGGCGGGGCCAGTCAGAATTTTTACTACCAATTCTCTGAATTACTCAAAATTTCCACTACCGGTTCTCCAGAACTGGTCAGAACCTGCTGAAACCCACCTCTGAATGACATACCATATAACTAGGATAAATAAACATATCATAGCTTGATGATGCCATATCAATATGAGAAGGTAAATAGAGGCAGAAGTAGAGAGTAGAGTTGTGCACACTTGCTGCTTCATTGTGTGTTGACCTAAGTGATAAGACCTTAGCTCCAATTCTTATGGCTTTTTGGAAAGGCCTGAAAATGTGGGGTTTTTTTTTCTTTTTTCAATAGGCCTAGGATCCCAAAAAAAGAAAATTTGTACATTGGTTGCACTATGTATGGTATCTTAATTAACTCCAATCTTGGTTTTACCAGCATCATATTTAATTGTTTTAAGTGTTTATATTTGATTTTAATGGTGGGTTTAAGATTCCCCTTGTATAAGATGGGTGACCACCTAAATTAGGAAAAATAAATAAATAAATAAATCCAGATTCTTTAATATGCAGATAGAAAATAGCCTTATAACATCTAAAACATGTAAACATTTTTTTAGCATGTAAGAACATGGCCAAAGCGTGAGCTGTGCGGAGATAAGATACAGTCTTTTAATTCTACATTGGTGCGGTGGGGTGGGGGGGAAACCAAACCTGCAGCCAACTTACTGATTCTGAGTGTTCCATCACAGCTAAAATAAAGACAACATATTCTTGGCCGTTTTGGAGCTGCTTGTTCTCAAAGCCACCATACTGTTTCTTATCCCCCAGGGTGAACTCAGTAGGAAGAACTTCAAAGTGTGCTGCAATATATGGCTTTAAATCTGCTTCTCTCCCCAAACGAATGCTTCTGCGCTTTCGTACCATCTCTTTCAGTAGCTTTAGGGTACAAAAGAAAAAAAAAAGAGAAGCAAAAAATGGAAAGATAACTGTAAATAAAATTAAACTAACACCATAGGATGGTAAAAAAATATTAATATAGTTTTAAGAACTACGAGTTTTGTAAACCATAATCTGTTTTAGGAACTATGGGTTTTATAAATCATAATCTGATTTATAATTCTGTTGTAAACCTTTTCTTTCAAAGTATGCACGTTTACCTAGGACTATGCCTCACTGCATTCAATAGGATATTTTTTAAGTAAACATAAACATAGAAATCCTAACGAATATCATGCCTTCTTAAAGAGCCACACCAGATAAGAATCAAAACAGGTTTTAATACTGAACATTATGATCCCTTCTAGTAACAAACTATTAAGCAGTTTTTCAGAAAAGCTGCATGATTGATATTTGATGAATATGTGATTTAATTCTCTTAAATAAGAGACCACACAGCATTATATTGTATTCCTTTCATCAATATTAATAGTTCTTAGTAACAGAACTGGGGCAAAATATTAATAAAACATTATTCTGCCCATTCTAGCATTAATTCATTGTGAATTTTCTGAGCAGTAGTAAACCATAGTTAAAACAGCGCTGGCATAACAACCCCAAATTTATCACAGGGGAGAAATGAAGATTGACAAACAGCAGTGGTAGAGCATTGCTTCTGGAAGCAGATGTTGCTCTGTTTATTTAATAAAGTCTCTTTCACTTTAATAAAGTCTCTTTTAACAGCAGGGAATAAGCTAAAATATTACTACGCCCGAGAATATAGAAAAAGGATGGGATTGTTGCAGAACCAAAATATCTCAATCTGTAGTTTTGCCAAATAATCATTACAGGTAGTTCTCGACTTAAAACAGTTCATTTATTGACCATTCAAAGTTACAACAGCACTGAAAAATGTGACTTATGATCGTTTTTTCATAGTTATGATCTTTGCAGAATTCCCATGATCATGTGCTCAAAATTCAGATGCTTGGCAACTGATTCATATTTTGACGGTCGCAGTGTCCCAGGGTCATGTGATCACCTTTTGCGATCTACTGACAAGCAAAGTCAATAGGGAAGCCAGATTCATTTAACAACCAGGTTACTAACTTATCAACTGCAGTGATTCACTTAACAATTGAGACAAGAAAGGTTGTAAAATGGGGCAAATGTCTCACTTAACAACAGAAATGTTGGGCTCAATTGTGGTTGTAAGTCGAGGACTACCTGTACAACATTCTTATAGCTTTCCGAGTTCAGAAAGTGAAACTTGGCTCCGAACACAGATTGCTGACTAAAAACTACATATTGTTTTCAAGCAGTTAATGTTCTTTAACAACAAACAGACAAATATAATACATTTTTGTTTTTTTAGGATATTAACTGCTTAAAATAAAAAGTAAATATAATCAAAATAGCCTCTTAGACTGCCAACGGCTTGCTTCAACACAGAGCACAACATTTTAAGTCACTAATTGACAGGATAGTCTTTTGAGACCCACCAATAAGCTATATTCCTTCCTTCAGTTAAGGGCTGCCATATTTCTAGCTAAAGCGATTTAGTTGAGAGCTTCCTATCTAGGTCAAAATGGGATCAATTGCCAAGTCTTACTTAATTTCATTGAATATTTTTTTTCCCAATACATTGTATTATTTTACCTTATTTTATATGATCAATAATATAAATGCAAACAAAACCAAAATGTTTGGATCTTCAGACACAAAATAAGCAGCAGAAACAACAAAACTGATTAAACTGCAAGGCTTCAGAAATGAAAGAACAGGGGCCTTTTGAGGTCTAGGAATACAAACAGAGCAACAGTCTGGGATACTTTAAAGCATTTCCATCAGATGTTACTGATCCAGTCTCTTTATAAATACATTATTCCTAAAGCTCTCCTAAAGTAGTCCTGCCACTTCTGATTTTTCCATTTCAGTCTTACATTACAATTCTAAAGGCAACTTCTGGAAAGCAAAGACCGCTGATTTTAGCAGGCTTCCAATAAGCAGGATAATTTGCTGTTTTGCTTCAAATGAAACTTAGGCCTAATGATGTGGCTTGCCGTGTGGCATTTGCAGATTTCATGTGAACAGCCTGAATGTACAATGCCAAGATTAGCCAGATTAATAATATATTTAAAAATTAAGACTGAATGGTCAAATAGGAGTTCAACAACTGGCTGTTTTACTACTAAGTATAATGTTGTTTTATGCCAATATTTACCAATTCGTCGGTTAAGACGTTGTGAGCGTTGTAACCAGTGGTGAGTTTCAAAATTTTTTACTACCGGTTCTGTGGGTGTCACATAGCTTGGTGGGCGTGACTTAGTGGGCGTAGCAGGGGAAGGATGCTGCAAAATTTCCATTCCCACCCCACTCCAGGGGAAGGATACTCTAAAATCTCCATTTCCTCTCGATCAGCTGGGACTTGGGAGGCAGAGAATAGATGGGGGCGGGGCCAGTCAGAATTTTTACTACCGGTTCTCCAAACTACTCAAAATTTCCGCTACCGGTTCTCCAGAACTGGTCAGAACCTGCTGAAACCCACCTCTGGTTGTAATCTTCACAAGGTTACATTGGGAAACTTGCAGAAGTCTGCTTTTGATATAGAAGACTGAGATTCTAGATTAAAGGCAAAATTTTTGTAAGACCTTGGGAAACCATGTATAAACATACCTTAAACCAATGGCTTGAAAATGGCTTTTTCACTACAGATAGTCCACACTGAACAACCGGTTGCTTAGCAACCATTTAAAATTATGACAGACACACCAAAATCTACTTATCCGGTTCCAGAGTTTTGACGGGTGGTCGTATGACCGCATTTTGAGTGCTTAGCAACCAGCAGTACTTTATGGCCAGTTGCAGCGTTCTGCAGTCAAGTAACCACGATTTATGGTGGGGTTTTTTGTCAGTTTTCAGCCACAGTTTTAAGAAAAGGCTCAGTTTCAGAGACTAAAGCAGTTGATAAATGTTGATAAACATCAATATCATAATCTCTTCCTCTAGCACAGAGGCAATTCAAATTTCTCCTGGTTTCCTATTTTATCTGCTATTTTAATTTCACTGTCTTACTACAATACATAAATTTGAAAATTTGTCCATAAATGCACAAAATTTCAAATACATTTTCATAAACACAGAAACTTTCCTAAAACTGTGCTGGTGCTGGCTTCTCGGGAGGTGACATGAGGCTGGCTCCAGGCGATTATAAATGCTTCATTGGGTGAGGGTGACTTTCCCGCCATCTTGAAAAAGGCAGTGGTGAGGCCTCTTCTCAAGAAGCCTTCCCTGGACCCGGCAATGTTAGCATATTATCGTCTGGTCTCCAACCTTCGCTTTGTGGCGAAGGTTGTTGAGACTGTGGTTGTGCGACAGCTTCCCCAGCACCTGGATGAAACGGTTTATCTGGATCCGTTCCAGTCGGGCTTCAGGCCTGGGTACAGCACGGAAAAGGCATTGGTCGCATTGGTTGATGATCTCTGGAGGGCTCGGAACAGGGGTTGCTCCTCTGTCCTGGTCGTGTTAGATCTCTCAGCGGCTTTTGATACCATCGACCATGGTATCATGCTGCACCGGTTGGAAGAGTTGGAGATGGGGGGCACTGTGTTGCGGTGGTTCTCTTCCTTTCTCTCTGACTGATCGCAGTTTGTGTTGGCAGGGGGGCAGAGGTCGACCCCGAGGTGCCTTATATGTGGGGTGCCACAGGGGTCGGTCCTCTCTCCCCTTCTGTTCAACATTTATGTGAAGCCACTGGGTGAGATCATCTGTGGCTTTGGGGTGAAGTACCATCAGTACGCTGATGATACTCAGCTGTACATCTCCACCCCGGACCACCCCAATGATGCCCTTGAAGTGATGTCCCGGTGCCTGGAGGCCGTGCGAATCTGGATGGGGAGAAACAGACTCAGGCTCAACCCATCCAAGACCGAGTGACTGTGCTTTCTGGCATCCCGATATAGTCAGTTGGTGCCATCACTGACTATTGGGGGCGAGTCATTACTCCCCACAGAGAGGGCTCGCAACTTGGGTGTCCTCCTGGATTCACGGCTGTCTTTAGAAGAGCACTTGACGGCTGTGACAGGGAGGACTTTTCATCAGGTTCACCTGATTCACCAGTTGCGTCCCTTTCTAGATCGGGACTCCTTATGCATGGTCACTCATGGCCTCGTCACTTCCCGCCTGGACTACTGCAATGCTCTCTACATGGGGCTCCCCTTGAGGAGCACTCGGAGGCTCCAACTGGTGCAGAGTGCGGCCGTGCGGGTGGTTATGGGAGCAACGTGGCGTTCCCATGTAACACCTCTCCTGCACGAGCTGCACTGGCTCCCGGTGGTCTTCCGGGTGCGCTTCAAGGTTTTGGTTACCACCTTTAGAGCGCTCCATGGCTTAGGACCTGGATATTTACGGGACTGCCTGATGCCACCAGTAGCCTCTCACTGGCCAGTACGCTCTCATAGAGAGGGGCTCCTCCAGGTGCTGTCGGCCAAACAGTGTTGACTGGCGGCCCCCAGGGGGAGAGCCTTCTCTGTGGGGGCACCTGCTATCAGGAATGAGCTCCCCCCGGAGATACGGAGGTTCCCGGATCTACGCACCTTCCACCGCGCCCTCAAGATATTTTTATTTCAACAGGCCGGCCTGGCCTAACTTTTCCCTTTTAAACTTTTTAAATTGTAAATTTTAAATTTGTCTTAAATATTGTCTTAAATATTGTTTTAATTTGTCCCGGGCCAAATTATCTAATGTGGTTTTATACTGTCTTTTAAATTTTGTAATTTATGTGTTTTATTTTTTGGCTGTTCACCGCCCTAAGTCCTTCATTTATTTTTATTTTGATAAAATAAATAAATGAATGAATGAATAAATAAATAAATAAAACAATCACTCTTTGATTAGCAATGTACACCAAATGGTCACAAGCCTTGGATTAAAGGGTATCTGTACAATTTAATGCAAATATAAATAATTATCTCAACTGGTTGAAAGACTTCATGGGATTGTTTTTATTTATAGAAACCTGGCCCTTGTGGATTCAGGGAGGTAGAAATTATCTCTTACGTCCTTATATGGTGCCCTTCCTATGTTGCCCCAAGACATACTCTGATAATCTCAATCATTTCCAAATATGAAGGCCATATAAATAAATTTTATGTTTATTATTTTTTAAGCAACGCTAATCCCATTCTCTCATATCAGGTGTTCAAACATTCACTATGTAAAACTTTAATTAGATATGTTGCTGTATTATTTTCCCCCTTCCCCAATAACAAATTGCTGTGATAAACTATTTCCCTTTCTACTGTATTTTTTTATTGTACCGATGGTCATAGACTATAATAAAGATATTTCATAAGCAAAATAAAAAAGCAATATATGTTTTCTTAATAGATGTGGTATTTTTCAGTTATAAGAATTATAAAATTCTGAGTTTGAATATAGTTTGGAGGGGTATATCCACACAAAAATTGAGAGAGAGTGAATTTTACCTTTATTCTTATGTTTTTATTCAGAATTTTTATTCAGAAAGGTTCTTTTTAATGAGGATAAATGTTTTCTGTTTGGAACCTGTTACTGGGATAATTAATTTTGAATTGAATAACTTCTGAACTGCTGAAAGGTTTATTTTTGGTAATTACTGCTACTATTTAAATGAAAATACTACTGAGTGTTGGCAAAAAATTACTGAAAATATACTTAAACATTTTCTATTTTTTACCCCCACCCCCCGCAAATATTACCTTTGCTTTCAATTTTCTAGTCATTATTTTTTCTTTTAATTGTTATAAGAAAAAGAATGACTATAAAATTGGAAATAAAAAAGAAATAGAAAACATTAACTATATTTTCAATAATACTTTGCCCATCTGGACCGGACTAGCTGCTGCTGGCATTGTGTTTTATTGTCGTCTCTTTCCCAAAGCCACAAATTAGGTATGAAAAAAGAGTAACATCTGCCAGTGCATATGGGATCAGAGCAGTGCAGAGCTCCATGCAGAAAATAGGTTTTCAATGACTTCAGCGTTGAGTTTGAATTGATCACCACTGGACACCTGGAATTCCAGCGTTGATTATAGCATTCTTGTTGGTAGAAGAATGCCATTCCCAAAGTATCATCCTACCAGCTGCTCTCTTTCTTACAATAGATTCCTCTTAAAGATTGTTTTCTCAGTCGTCCCATAAAATTTTCTATTCCATTGTTAATTATTACTGGAAAAATATGGGGAAAATCCTATCTTTTCTAAGCGTTTTTGAATTAGTTGAGATTGTAAGTTATTATCTTATTGTATGTTACCACTTTATTCTACTGCACCAAAAGGAGTTGGAAGTCAATCTTTTTCTTTTCCCCTTTATTCTACACTTTTTCCTCTTCCTCTTTTCCTTCCCTGTTTTCCCATTATTTTCATTTTTCTTTATTTCTCTGTATTTTATATTTTGATGAATTAAAAAAATACTATAACATTTCTGAATTGTCAAAGCATTATACTAATTAACCCATCACAATATAAACAAATGATTTTGTTCTGAATAGCAGTACCACAAATACAAATAATTTAATTAAACAGAAATTCAAGCCCCTTGAAGTACCATATTGTAATCTGTTATGACTTCCATCTTGGTCAATGGAATTTTGCAATGGAATTTGTTTCCCCAAATATTTCATTATACACATGTGAAATCTATATACAGGACTAGAAACTGATGACTCGCTTAACTCCACTCCCCTGCTCGCTCCTCTCCTACATAATTATATCTTTTGACTCCAGACTGGCCAAGTGAGGCCATTCAAGTTCTGTCACAAAATGGCTGGGGATGTTAAACCTTGGATGGGGTAACATTTTCCCATTCAAGAGTACAATTTGAGGTTCTTCCTGGCTCCACAGCTCTTGCTAAATAATGAGCAGGTGACAGCTATAGACAAGAAGACCATTATATAGCTTAATCTAGTGCGAAAGTTGTGCCTTTTCCGAGATTGAGAAGTCCTTCAGAGAGCCCTAGTCACCTCATAGCACAATTATGACAACATATACTACAAGGGATTGAAAGAGTCTTCAAAAGCTTCAAGTAGTCCATAATGCAATGGTGTGGTTAATGATGTATATGTCTCAGTAGGCACATGTGATACTCTGATTTTGTGACCTCTACTGGTTAACAGTTTGGTTCCAAGTGTGATTCAAGCTGCTAGTTATGATTTACAAATCCTGTCATGATTTATAGCCCTACACAGTATCAGGCCTGATGACTTGAGGGACTTTAGGCTCTTCTTAGCTAGTCAATAGGGCAGGATTGGTACACCCTAAGTTTGTTTGATTATGCGGTGCCATAGAAACATGCTTTTGCTGTCGCAGTGCCTGCCTTCTAGAATTAGGTTTCCCCTGAAATCTTGGTAAAATGGCATTCTGGATGGCCTTAAAGACCTGCTCTACTCGCAAGCTGCATCTGGAGCCCTTTGCTGGATATGGTATACATTTTAATTGTTTTTTAATTATTGTTAATTATTTTATGTTGTGAAGTACTTAGAGTCAATTTGAAGTTAGGTAGCAACTAATGTAATGAATGAATAAATTTAAATGTATAAAATTATGCATCATGATTTTTAACTTTAAAAAACCCTCATCCCTCTACAGCAGGTGTGTCAAACTTGCGGCATCACGTGACGTATTGGGACTTTTTTCCCTTTCGCTAAACCGAGCGTGGGCATGGCCAGCGTGTGACGCATCAGGCCTGTAGGCTGTGAGTTTGACAGCCCTGCTCTACAGTATCATATCATATAACCTTTGAAATCAAGATAGGTTAATTTTATTGATTAGGTATACAAAACACTTCAACCTATGAGTAAAATCAGTAAACAATTAAGAAACAATTTGAGAAAACCTAAAGAGAAACCAACAACAACAAAGATAATATTGTTCGAATCTGTTGTACAGAAGACACTAGCTGTTGCATAATGGAAAAGAAAATCACATTCGAAAGACGACAATTGTATCTAAGACTTAACAAATTTATTTTTTCAAGTACCTAAAAATACTAGTTTAAGTCCAGCCAGTTGTCTTAATAATGTAAAGTTATGAATTTCTGCCAAACGGATAATAACACTGTTTCTGATCAGCCTTGTACACAATTCAACCAATTGCTGCATAGATGTCCTTATTTGAATACTTTGGATACTGGATACCAAGTATAAAAAAAGGTAGTTAAAAGCTCATAAACCTTTACTTCCAGACATTCCAAAACTGATACTGCAAAGCTTAATAGAAAAAAATATTTGCATTCTCTATTCTAACAACACAAATATCATTATGAAAGTTATCCAATTGCCTTTGCATGTAAATGTATCCAATTAACAAATTTTACCATAAGAAAAAACACCAGAACATCCATCCCAGGGAATATATCAAAAATATATGGAAATATAAGGTCATATTTCTATTCTTGAAAGTGTGAAAATGTAATCAGCATTAAATGATTCCACACTTTCTTTGAAAATAAGTGATTTCAAGAATCAATTTTTGTAGCCATGTCCAGTGAATATATAGGTGAATATTATACCAACCTTACGTAAGTATCTCCTCTAGACAGGACTGGTATTTTTAAATTCTTCCTCTCTTTCTAAAGTAAGATGTATTTAGAAGAAAAAATAAACAAAATCTAATGATCTCAAAATATCAAAATATTGGAAGATTCTAATGTCACTGACTAATTATTTCAGAATAAGGATAATAGAAATTCACTAACTACATCATCTGGCTCAACAACTTGGCTCTCATTCTGAGAATATGAAGGTGGGTTTTTTTTTTGTTTGTTTGTTTTTTTGTTTAGGTTCAATCTGGAGTGCAAGGAACAAGAGTTTAAAAATAATAGATACACTTTCTAATTAGAGTATTTCAGCATAGCTGAGACAGGTAAAGAGACTATGAGGGAGGTCAAATGTTAAACTGCAGAGCAAATTGCAATTTAGCATTTGATTCAGCTTTAGCAAATACCCTATTAATGAACCAGACCTTTATTGGAGTTCATATCAGTGGTGATTATACTTTTGCTGACAAGTCATTTTGTTTTCTACATTATGCCTTACAATCAGCAAGGAATAAAATATTAATGACATCAAAGATCAGACAGTTTATGTGCCTCATTGCAACTTAATGTATTTTAATTTACGTAATTAGCTTTTTGTGTTTGCTCCCAGAAACTAACTCCAATATAAATGACAAAGTATTAAAAAAAAGTCAACTTGCTGACATGAATACATTAATTGGACACAACCATTAAGACTGCTTCAATCAGAAAAGGTTTCTCTGGGTAAAAAAAGAGCTAAAATAAACAAAGGGTACCTCATCTAATTCCATTTCATCTGGGCTCTCGCGTGGTTTCATGAATTTTCCATCTGATTTCTTTATCAAAGGTACAATTACTATATAGTAACCTCTGCAAATGAAACAAAATGTAACAGTGAGGTTTATATAAAGGGAATTCATTGGAAAGCTTCTATACAGAAAAACTACAGTAGAACCAACTGGTTATAATTACACACTACTATATGAAATTAATATTAAACACAAATATATATGTACTGCTAATTGAACTCTTTTATTAGACTTCAATATTGTGTTTATCAGTTTGTAACAACAACAGAAACACTATAAATATAATGATAAACTTTGGCGTAGTGGAAAGCAATAATTTCACTCATTTCTGAATGCTTACGTTTTGAAGGATTTAGTGCTTGCAAAATTTAAAATTCAGGTGAAGCTAATTGGGTGGCTTTTCCTCAGATGAGACATGACATTTGGAAGAAATCAAGCATTTTAGCAAGAATTTTGGTAAGTTATTTGCAATCTCCCTTTTTATCAGTATATCACTTTATCTCAGAGGTTCTTGGGATAGTGGTTAAAGTAGACTAGGAACAGGGAAATCCAGGTTGTAGTCCTTCTTTGCGGAAGGATGAGTCATGTGAGATCAGTCAGTCTTTCTCAGCCTTAGATTGGAAGTTGCAAAGTATCTATTTACCAACCTGCACTAGAGTGACACAGTATAATTTGATGCATAATGAATGGACCTTCAATGAACAAGTTTACATCCTGCAGTGGGTTGTTTTGAAATCATGAGTTTAAGTCGATCATGTTTAAATATTTTATATTTAATGGTATGCTCAAATAAGCAAAATACATGTTATTTAGTTTTTGTTTTTTTAAAAACTGAACCGGTTGTGATCTATTTTGGATTTACACTAAGGAAAAAAAGGCTTTTACTATCATCCAGGGTTGTTGGTTTTTTAAGGAGTAATATTATACTTATTTATTATTAAATTTGTTTTCTGCCCATCTTATCACAAGGCAACTCTGGGATATGGGTATAAAATGGATTAATTATACATGTCATATAAATTCAAAAAGTTGGCAAAAAAAGTATTGTGGAATGCAAAGAAAACAGTCCAATTCAATAACATCCCAAGTCCCTAACCCTCAAAACTGCCCATTCTCGTGCATAATCCTGTAAAACCAGAATTATATCATAATGTACAGTAGTCCCAGAGATATTCTCAGAATGCCTACACTGATTGTTGCTATTTGGGTGGTGGCTACTACAGAAGCTCCGTTTACAGAATCTTCTTGGACCCTTTCGCAAGATAGGGTCCAAGATATTTCGCAAATATCTAGTATTTTGGGAAAGTCAAATAGAGAAAATGACAATGCTTACCCCACTTATCCTCCTCCTTTCTTACCCCACTTATCCTCCTCCTTGCAAAAGTAGCTCCGCCAATGGCACAATTTCACAACAATTTAAATCATTATCTCTCTCAATATGAAATAAAAAAGTGTAGGCACTATATTTTAATAATGGTTTATCAGTCTCTAATAGTGAAGCATTTTTGTCAATGAAAGGGGCAATATCAAGTATATGCAATATAAATGAAATACACTTTTAAATTATAGGGGAAAAGCTAAGAGAATCTGAATAGGTTCAGGCCATGCTGCAGAAAAAGCAGAAAAAGCTTGAAGGGAGAAATCATTCTTGTATGCACTGATACACACTTTAATAGCTTTTTCCTTCTAAAAAGAATTCTATATCCATTATCGTTTTCTTTTTCTTTTTTTAACTCCATATCAGCAGTTAAAGAAGGCATATGAAAAGTTATTTTTCTTGGCAATTACTCTCTACAATCTGTTTTCAAACACAGCTGCAATCACTTAATGGAAACAAATCATTTGTGAAATCAATACATATATGTAGCCAGGTTAGATTACAAAATGTTAAAATGTTATCACTTTTCACTGAAGAAGTCATTTAGATCATTTGGACCTTCTCCTTAAGAATTCCACATGGAAGAGACACAAATTTAACTAAAGATTTAAATTCTCATACAAAACCATGATAGCCTTTTAAAAGAAAAATACAGGCATTTTATCCACATTGTATTTATTGCCTTTATTCTAAACTCAGCTTTAAGGAAAATGGCTCTTAAATATGGATCTAGGAATTGGCCTTCTAACTTGACTAATAAGTCTTGCTAAGCACTGATAAGATTGCACCAAACCAATTTAAATTAAAGAACAAAATTGAATCTTAAAAATTAAAAAAATAATGAAAATATAGCAACACACTGCTGCTCTGTTTTTACCTAAAAATATCAATAAATTAATAAATCTGACACTTACTATATCTACATTACTCTATACAAAAACTACTTTTAATAGATGCAATTGACAATGGCATTATTTAAGTGTCTACAGGTAATCATCCTTGTTCCTTCATAAAAAATAATTAAAAAATCAAGGACTTTTTTATATTCAAACTTAGAAAGCAGTGATTCAAAATCTAGCATTGTTTGTAGTTTCAGTGATGGCCTTGGACAAATTGTGAGCTCTCATCTTAAGTTCTCTATCTACAAATATGCCTCAGTACGTCCTGGTGGTTTTGCTGCAAGCATAAACAAATGTATAGATTATATTTGTATAGAAATTGTTAATTTTCCTGCATGAAATAATATTTCTGGTAAAATTACTAGTAGCATTCATTCTCATATTCATCATCTTAATATATTATTAATCAAAATATTAGAGAAATTAAAGCAAGGGAGAAAATAAACTTATTACCATTTTAGAACAAACCAGCAAACTGTGTTAAGAACTGCTGTGTTAAAAACCACACACACACACACATCTTTTAAAACTCTGAAGCTGTTAACTGCTATTGAAAATGATTTTCATGCTGAACTAACTATTCACTTGTGAACTGTATTGTGTTACGCCCAACACTTTGAATAAGTTATTTTCAAATAGGCAAGAAATGTTGTTATATTATAAAACCCAGGTATCTAATTCTGTCAATAAGTATTTGTTGATTCATAATGCAACAAAACATGATCTATCTCTCTCTCCCCCGCCCACTCTCTTATTCCTACAGGTAGTCCTTAACTTACAACCATTCATTTCATGACCATTTTAAAGTTACAATAGCTCTGAAAAAAGTGACTTATGATCAGTCTTCACACTTATGACAACTGCAATATCCTGACGGTCCAACACTGATATTTGAATGTTTGGTAACTGATATGTGTTTACAAGGATGGCAGCATCCTGGGTGATGTGATCACCATCTTCAGTTCTGACTGTTACTGACAAGCAATGTCAATGAGGGATGCTGGATTCGCTTAACAATCATGTGATTCACTTAACATCCACAGTGATTTGCTTAACAACCATGACAAAATGTAAAATCAGGTGCGACCTAGTGATTGCCATGCTTAGCAGCAGATTTTCTGGTCCAAATTGTGGTCGTAAATCAAGGACTATCTGTATTCCTGATTGTGTCAGTTCTGAACAGATGTCCCAAATATTACTTCCCATTCAGCATTTTAAAAATTGTATAACAAGATTTTAATTTGCATACCGATTTTCCTGGTTTGATTACTGGACTATACCAGGACATCCAACATGTATCTGAATATAAGGCTGCTCTTCCCTATGCCGTAATTTCATATTCATCATTGTACCTACTAAGTTCAGTACATGGCATTGATAATGCTCATATTCCAGAGTCCCATTCTTTCTTCCATGAACTTTTGATCGCATTAGGAATGACTGCTGTGCTGATAGATTAAGAATCTACTCTGATATGTAATACTACTTCTCAGATGGGTTGGAAATCTGATTGGAAATCATCAACATAAATCACTGATATATATGTATGTATTTATGTATGTATATATATGTATTTAGCATGCTTTGGCATAAGTTGCTTTGCCAACAGAGTTTTGAAAATATTTGCCCGGGGTTATGTACAGATTTTTCATGCAAATCTGTTTAGAAGTTCAACTGTCATAAGGGAAGCTTGCTTCATAATCCAGAACAGAATTTTAGGGGGGGGGGGAATCATTGCTAAAGGCAGAAAATTGGCTGTGTTACATCACCACCAAAAAGCTAAAAAGTTATTTTAAAAAAAAACAAATTTGGAATTTAACATAGATTAAAATGTAATTACAGATAGTCCTGGATTTATGACCACAATTGAGCCCAAAATTTCCATTGCTAAGCAAAATAGTTGTTAAGTGAGTTTTGCCTCTTTACAACCTTTCTTGCCATAGCTGTTAAGTGAATCACGGCAGTTGATAAATTAGTAACGCAGTTGGTTAAGTGAATCTGGTTTTCCACTTTGCTTATCAGAAGGTTGCAAAAAGGGATCCCAGGATCCTGGGACAGTATAATTGTCATAAGTAAATACCAGTTACTAAGCATGTGAATTTTGATCATCTGATCACGGGGATGCTGCACAGGCTGTAAATGTGAAAAATGGTCATAAGTCATTCTTTTCAGTGTTGTTGTAACTTCAAACGGTCACTAAACAAATGGTTGTAAGCCGAGGACTATTTACATCTGACTATTTATCAGTCCCATTAGATCAGTGGTTCTCAACCTGTGGGTCACGACCTCTTTGGGGGTTGAATGACCCTTTCACAGGGGTCACCTAAGACCATCAGAAAACACATATACCCATGTTTTCGGCTTGGGAACAGCTGTCTCACCAGGGAACCAGCCGGTAACTGGTTATCCTCCAGTAAGAGGCGCGCTGGCCCTCTTGGAAAAGTGGGGGTGCATTCATGGAGGGCGCACACATGCACAGTGCGGGTTGCATGTGCACATGCGCAGTGTGAGATGCATGAGCATTAGGAGCATGGGATCATGTGCGCATGCGCAAATGGGGGCGCCCATTGCATTATGGGTGCTGGCATGCAAGAGCACGCGAGCGCTCGCATGCTCGGACTTTTGGCACGCATTTTATGGTTGGGGGTCACCACAATATGAGGAACTGTATTAAAGGGTCTTGCATTAGGAAGGTTGAGAACCACTGCATTAGATAGATGGGATCATGAAATAAGCTCCGCAGGAGGATTAAAACTACTTTTATTGAGACTGATTATAATAACAAACTATCCAAGATTGCAACTGTGATTGAGCCATTCCTTCTGTTCTTTCTTATAGTTCAATGAATTAGGAAGTGTCTGAGCTACTCCCTTATGTTGTCTGGATGCTCTCTGGATATTCTGGACTCTAAAAAAATGATTAAGTTCCTTTTACCGAAAAAAAACGGAGTTTCACATATCCTTGTTATGATTACCTTTACTCTCTATTTAGGCTGAGTTGGGTATATCAAACTATCAGTAACCCTGGCATTAGAAGATCGTGCTCAACCCTCTTGAAGAGAGAATTTTTATTGGCATGTATGGCATTTAAATTTTTCATCCTGGTTGTGCAGATGAAGATGTCCAGATGGTGTGCCTTAATCGGCATGTACTGTTTTTCCTGATGTAATCACAAACTCTCAGAGGATAGAATCTTTTGTCAGTGTGTGACAGAATTTGTTTTCATGGAATTTAAATGAAAATTCTGTTGTCAGTAGAGATTAGTGATGGGTTAATAGTGTTGAACTCTGCATTTTAGAACAGATTTCTATCTGTCCAATAACAAAAATCCAAATGAAAATGTGTGCATAGAAAATAATTTTTTTCTCTTTTGAGAAAAGTTTCTCTTTTGGTCTCCAAAAATTATATGATTAAACTGAAAGACTTATACTAATCTTTTCTTATCCAACACAAAATCTTCATTTTGATCTATGTTGATCAATGACCATAATAATGATTTGATTCCTTCCTTCCTTCCTTCCTTCCTTCCTTCCTTCCTTCCTTCCTTCCTTCCCCTTCCCTTTCTGTCCCTCCTTCCCTTCGTGCACTCTTATCATTTGATATTTGGATATTAATGTTTTCCATTAATATTTACCTGTCTAATTCCATACAATGTTAAAGAAGACACATCGGCTTTGTAATCAATTGTGCTTTCACATTCATGTCATTCAAAACCTAGACTAGTTAACTCTGAGAACTATGAGAAGTATTTTGCTTACTGAAAACACAGACAAATATGGTACAATATTCTGTACTTAATGAGATCATTTGAAGATTATTCTTCAAAAGCCTTAAGCCTTAAGAAGAGAATATCATTGCATGTTTTCATATTTTTTTCCAACCATGATGCTCTTTATTGTACCTTATATTTCTTGTTGAAGATGTATGTTTCAATAAATTATGTGCTGTAACTGAAAATCTGATTTAAAAATGTGTGCATTTCATGTGTAATTCTGTAAACAGTTATATTTTATCCTAAAATACATATTTATAAACAATTTTCCATTTTGTACACCAGTTTTTAATATTAATTTCCAAAAATTAATATATTCTTCCATTTGTTGTAAAATTCAAATTATGGTGTTGTGATTGTGGTGTGTGCTATGGCTCCGAAGTTACTTTAGGAAGTTGTCTTCTAGACAGGCATTATCTATCTGTATTTTCAAGTTCTATTTCTGGCAATTTTAATCTGCAATGTTTCCCATTTATATTTATAACATATATATATATATATATATATATATATATATATATATATATATATATATATATATATATATGTGTGTGTGTGTGTGTGTGTGTGTGTGTGTGTGTGTGTGTGTGTGTGTGTGTGTGTGTGTGTGTGTGTGTATGTATATTATTAATAGTTGTGTACTAATTTTTCAAAGCTTTTAACAGTTTAGAATTTTCTTTCCTACAGCCTTCTTTAAAATTTCAATAAAGCAATAAAAATGGCTTTGTATGAAACTCAGGATAAAAATGATTACATGAAATAAATGTTGCATACTGACTAATATTTCATTTTCCTCTCTTTTCTGCTATACACATCACACTGTTGTAATCAACAAAAAGCCTGCGAACAAAGCAGTAACACTTATTGACAGCATGGTATGCAGTCTTTCCTGGGAATCTTTATTGTCTATCATTTTAAATACCAATTGGCATTGCAATGTCAGCTTTTTAATACCATCTCTGTTTAATCTGCACAGACCCATTTAAGAAGCATCATAAACCATGTTCCAGAACTGTGAATAAAAACATACCTATCAAATCCATGTGTTGGATGGACACAACACCAAAAAGATTACTTTTTGGACTTAAATCACAACTTGCTTTTTTCTAAAATACAGCTTTATACCACAATGTCTGATGATAATTTTTATAAGTCACATTAAACTACTCCTGCTGTACTAATATGATGATTCTGACCACAAAAACATAGAATACATGAAGTTAACATTAATTTTAGGAATAACCAAGAAATATTTTAGAATGAAAAATATATTTATTCAAATCTACTCAGTATTTTAGTCATACAGGTAGCCCCTGAGTTACGACCACAACCAAGGCTGGAATTTTACTTGTGAGTCATTGAGGTTGAAAGTAGAATAACTATGAGACTTGATTGAATTTTACAACCTTTTTCGGGAGAGCCATAAAGCAAATTACTACAATGTTAAATAAATCATGTGGTTAAGCAAACCTATTCTTTCAATGATTTTTTTTTGCCAGAAATGTCACAAATTGTATTCACTTGCAGATATAAAACTGCAACAAGTCCTAAATGCAAGTTAGGTGACAAGCACCCAAAATATGATCACATGACCATGGGAGGGATGTGGCAGTTGTAATTTTGAGGACAAGACATAAATATCTTTTTTAAAAGTTCACCATAACTTCAAACCATCATTAAGCAACTACCTGTAACAGCATTGTATTTCCTAAAAAAACTCTTTCATCTATATCACAGTTACTCTGCATGAAATTATTTCATATAGGTATGCATGTTACAATAATATATTTATAACTCCCAAATTCAGATGTGCATTTGATTCTATTCCTGGTTTGCTTTTTTTCCCTTTTACATGCGTGTATGTGTCTGTGTGTATATTAATATTACTGATATTATGTTTGTTAAATAACAAAGACAAATAGGAATAACTATTATATTTAATAACTTTGGACATACCAGAAAATGTTTCATAGGAAGAGGGATTTAGCAAACAATTTTACACCTGTTGCTCATGTAAGCAGTACTGAGATTGTTTGAGACGCTCACTTGATTGGGACTGTGAGCGCCCGCGATCCTTGCAGGGCTGTGCTTGTGCACCACATCTCCAAGTTGAGAATAGGCCACAGCCCACAGGTTGGGGATCCCTGCATTACAATAGATTGTCCCACCTGATCAGAGAAGGGAGGTATGTTGCAGACCCCATTATAGTTCTGACTGATAGGAAGAGAGGTTTCTCTGCCATTGCCCCTGCCCTATGGAATATTTTCCCCTCAGAGAATAAAAACAAAAAATTCTCATGTTTGATCCTACAATGGAAAAAAAATTAGGGATGAAGTTAGAATTTGCTTCATTTGAATACATTTCTGTTGATATTTGGGTGAACTAGGTCAAATCTAATTTGAATAATTTGTTTTGGATCTCTTTATTGATTTCATTTACAAATCACATCAATAAATTAAATGAGAAAGTAAGTTTGACTTCAAAAAAATCCAATCTTTCTATGACTAATAGGTCATTAAAATATACTGATATGGAAGTATCTACTACAATTATTCAATCTGAATTGAAGTCAATTCAATTCATTTCAGTGAAAAGATCCCACTGTACTAGCATAGGGACAGGCAAAAAATGTTTCATGCCCTGCACTACCCTGACTATAATGCTGAAGTGTGCTGTAATAGCAAGCATAGGGATTTTCAGTTTCATGATTTTCCGCAGACTTTTGCAAATATGAGGTGTAAAAACCAGGTCTGTTAACATCCTGTGATATTTTAGATTCCTGTTTTGCCATTTAACTCTTACTTATTTTGCGCTTTAAGCCTCCCGCTTAATGCTTTTGACTATATCACTTGCCCATTTGTGGCTCCTGCTTCCCAATGAGGACAAACATTGTATTTTTTTTTTCAAAAAATAAAAAGTTAAAATGTAGTTCCTGGGTCATGTTTGAAAGATAGCATATAATCACAATAAACAATAAACTGTATTCATTTTGGCATCAAATCTTAAAATGACTGCCTGTCTAGTGCAGTGCCTGGCTAAAAAAGTACCGGTAAATGCTTTAAACTACAGAAAATATTCTAAGAAATTATAAATCTCCTTGAATTGTTCTTAAGCTCTTGCAACATTTGTTAGATATAACTTACTTTATAGTTTTGTTTGCTGGTACTTCTGGTAGTTTCACTGTTATCATTCCATCTAGATTGGTCTTATCAATGAAAAGTGGTTGGGTGCGTAGTACATCTGGAGCTGTCTTTGCCGTTACCCTGTGTTGCAGACCTCCAGCACTGTTCCCTCTATTGGTTAGCACAAAAGAATAGGATGTCTCAGGCTTCAGATTGGTGATCAGTTTCTGGGTGGCTCGGCCATCCACTTCAACTGCCATTTTCCCATCATCATAAAGAATCTAACAAATGGGAATTTAATAACAGTAGCAAAATGTTAATAACCTCTAGGGATGTGCAGGAAAAGAGCAGTTTAGAAATAAAACTTGCCATTGACAAAATGACTTTGAAGTTTGTTAAAAACTGCGTGGCGGGACAAACAGATTTAAAATCTCAGAATCAAATGTACTGAATGGAGTTTGGGATACTAAGGATGACTTAGTATTCCCACTGGGGTTTAATAGATACAGCAAATCAGATGTACACATTCAGTACACTTTCTGCCTTCAATTGTCCTTGGTTCCCAACTCCTTTCATTGCTTGATATAACACAGGGATGGCAAACTCATATCGTCATGGCATCGTCACGTGACGTATCGGAACTTTTTTCCCGTTCGCTAAACCGAGCATGGGCATGACCAGTGCGTGAAGCATCTGGCCTGTGGGCTTCAATGAACGCAAGTGCAGATAGTATTCAGTAAACAATTAGAACCAGTTAACAACTGTAATTAGGCCCAGAAATTCTATTGGTAAGTGACCCAGTTGGCTCATATAATGACTTTGACTTAAGATGGCAGTTGCTGATGGCAGATGTTGCTGCCATGGGTTATGGTTATCATGTGATATGTCACATTGCCATGGTTTGAGATTTCCTGCCAGCTTCCTGATTGACTTTGCTTGAATTGCAGCTGTGATGGCTGCAAGTCAAGAAAGTAAGCAAGGCCTACCATACAGATTGAGGAGTAGAAATCCAATGTAAATGCTCTCTCTTCAGCTGGAATGTGAAGGGACGGCATTCAAGTTGCAAAAACTATTTTTCTTGACTTTATATGGAAAATATAGTATTACACTGACCTAAGAAATCTATTGATTGACTAATGAGAAAGTGGTAGATAGTTTTAGCTGAAATTGAGACAAGGGGAAAGGGAAGAGTGAAGGAGGCTTTGAGGTGCTAGTTTTAATCACCTGGTATATGACGCTGGTCATATAATCTACATTTGAACAATAAGCTCCATTAGCAGTGATTTACTTTAGAGGTAACATTTTGTTAGTGATTACTTTCCTCTTATGAGACAATCCCCATGCTTCAGGAATTTATGGACTAAACCCAGAGGTGGGCTTCACATAATTTAACAACTGGTTTGCCTAGTGCAGAACCGAAAATGTGGGCATGCACCTTCCGCACTTGCGCGCGGCTTCAAACACACGGCGATTTCATATGTGCGGCTTCCAGCACACCTTCTCGGGCAGCCGCAATGAGTAGAGTGGGCATTGTGTGGCAATCAGCTGGGCTGCATGGGAGGGACGAGTCAGCCAGAGAATGAGATATATAGGACGGGATAGCACCGGGGCAGGGCAGGTGGGCAGGCCCAGCCGGTGGTCGGAACTACCAGTTCGTCTGAACCGGCAGCAGCCCACCTCTGAGTAAACCTATTTATTAGGTCTTCTGTTTGCTTCCCGAGACACATTTAGAGTGATGGTTGATGACTTTAATGTTCATGGAAGACCTGATAATAATTTTCTATATGCCAGGTTTCTTCCTCTGAAACAGATACACTCTCCTTGTTTTGATTATCAAAACACATGATATCAAACAATACAAGCAGGTTTTTGTCCAGTCTGGATAGTTAATTTGCTTATCCCTGTATTTTAAACAATGCTATAGACACTGATCAACAAGCAGAATTCACCAATTAGGCTATGTTGAAAAGGAGTGCTATTGTTGACATTATTAGTAATTTTCACATCATCTTTTAATTCATTTTCATATTTTATTACATTTTCAACTCTGCATTAGGAAGCCATAGGTGGTACAGCATTGCCAGTCCAGAATCTCTTTTACAAGAGTCTGTTGTATTAAAAGTTTGCCACAATTCAAAAAAGAAAGAATTAAGGAGAAACTTGTGATACAGTAGTTTCAGAATATACACTCCTCTCTTATATCAGTGGGATCTGACAGATTAATTCTTCAGAACTATTTCATACTAATCCAGGAATTACAATAATTATTAAACTAAATAACTGATGTAATTATCACCAATACTAGTAAAAGCTATAATTTGACTTTTCTGTGTAAGAGCTAAAAAGCTTATTCTTTGTTTTCCTGGATATGCTGCTGGATTCCCACCTCAAATGGCATCAGTGGAAGAAAAATGTATTATGCTATGTTTATGCTTTCATTTGAAGCCTTGTCAGGACAACTGGAAGCCTCTAAATTCACCACAGCCAGGTTGATTTTGAAAATGCCTTGGGTAACCCGCTAAAAACCCATTTTTGCAAAAGAGAAACCATTGTGTCTCTGCGTACAGAGGGCAATTCATTGTATACTACTGTGTGACAATTAATACAGAAAAGAGCAAGAAGCACTATATTACGGATGCTAATTTTTATTTATTTAGAAAATTTATATTTCGCACAAGGAGACTCAAGTTGGCTTACAGGACATTTCATCACAGGATGGCAAGTAGGAAAAGCAAATTTTTGAAATATTGTTTAAAGAACAATATACTATATACTATGTATATTTAGTATATTTATATACTATAAAACCACGAACAGAAAAAATAATCAGAAATATTGGAAAATTAACACAATTTTTATTATACTAACAGAATGAAACAATCATTTTTCTGATAATAATCTAAACAGCAGAAACTTTTATACTTTTTATTTCTGGTGTTTAGTTCAACATTACTAATGCTGATGCATAAATGCAGACTTAATTAACATCAATTGTCAACCAGGATCAAATCAACTATCAACCTTGAAGAACTGCTGCCATGGCCTTCTGATTTTGAACTACATCAGAAGACAATGGCAGCAGTTCTTCAAGATTGATACTGGAAAGGATTTAACACTACTAAATATCTGTTAGTAGAGTGGGGCTGTAAATCATTTAATTAAAACATTTGTCCATTACAAGTCCTGTAACCCTTCAAGTCTTTTAGATTAACAACAACTTACTTTGAAAGGCAGGGCAGAATTATAATTCTCTGGTATATCCCAAGAAAGAAGGACTGATGTTTTCATTACTGCTTTGACATGAAAATTTTTTGCAAACACTGCTGGAAAAGGAAGGGTAATATATTTAAAGTACATTTTGATTTTGGATCCCATCCCCTTTTCACCAGTCAACATTTTCCATTATATTCCTACCTGTTTTTAGAAACCACATTCCATTCTTAAAAATGACATCTCAAAATAATTATATTTTCCTTACCTGCAATTATTATGCAGAAGTGAGCCAGACTTGTCTGATATGGGATAACTGAATTCTAGTGAATCCAAACACATGAAGATTTACATACTTTACCTTCGCATCAGATGAATCTACTTATATGATGGTTTTGAAAATTGAAGCTATATTTAAAATATCGATATCCAAAGACTGAGATCCTTTTACAAGACAAGCCATAAGCAGACAAATCCTACCTTGATCCACAGGTAATGTCCTAAACTGGATACTGGGACTATATGGACCGGGCCCTTTGCTTGTATGTGCACGTATTTTTACATCGTATGTGGTATCTGCTTTTAAGCCTGAAAGTGTCATTATAGTATCAACAGGAGCAACAGGGATCTCTGTTTGTTGATGGGCCACATTGATATCTCTGTACTGTAGAGTGTATTTAGTGATTATACCATTTCTCTCGGATAAAATGGGTGGCTGCCAAGTTAGTTGGACAGAAGTCGAGGTGGCACTTTCTGAATGTAGATTTTGAGGAAATCCACTTGGTAGATCTTCTGGAATCAAAATTTCTTTTACCATTTCTTCCCCAAAGCCCACTTTATTTCTAGCTGAAAGCCTGAAGATGTAAGAAGTCCCTTTATGAATATCAGTAGCCGTGTAGTGGTCATCTTTATCAGTAAAATCCCGTGTCGTAAATGCATCCATGTCTTTGCGGCCAAACCTCAGGCGGTACCCTTGCAGGGGGCCATATGTATCGACAGGTGGGTGCCACTGAATTAGAGCCGTACCCATTTGTGTGTGGCTAATTACAAGCCGAGGTTTTCCTGGAACTGTAACATAACATTATTTTAGCATAGAATGTACCTGTAATAATTTTTTTCTAAAATTGCTTATTAGGTCTCTTTAAAAATTACTTATGCAACAGACATATCGTTTCTCTACTCTACCTTCATCCTCAAATATTAATTCAGACCTTGCAACACATTAAGAACTGTATTATCTTTCTTTACTCCCTTTCTTCTAGTTCAGGGGTGTCAAACTGGTGGCCCTTGGGCCAGATGCGTCACGTGCAGGCCACGCCCACCCCAACTTCGTGAAGGGGAAAAACATCGTGAAACATCACGTGATGGCAACGTGATATGGCAAGTTTGACACTCATGTTCTAGTTCCTAAATATAGAGAAAACAGGTAGGCAATTATCCCCATTGACCTGAAACCAAGCAATACATACAGTAATTGTGTATCTTTGCATATTAAGCTTATGGACATTACTTTAATATGATCAATGCAAACAAACAGAATATCCAGGTAATCCTCGTCTTACAACAGTTCGTTTAGTAACTGTTCAAAGTTACAACAGCACTGAAAAATGTGAATTATGACCATTTTTCACAGTTAGGACCTTATGACATCCCCATGATCATGTGATCAAAATTCAGATGCTTAGCAACTGGTTCATATTTATGACTGTTGCTGTGTCCCGAGTCACAGGATGACGAGTGATCATTTTTTGTGACCTTCTAACAAGGAAAGTCAAAGGGGAAACCAGGTTCACTTAACAACCAGGTTACCAGGTAACCAACTGTAGTGATTCACTTAACATCTGTGGCAAGAAACTGGGGCAAAACTCACTTAACAAATATTTCACTTAACAAGAGAAATATCGGGCTCAATTGTGGTCATTAGTCGAGGACTACCTATATTCCAGAGGATGCATTTATATATTGGGAAGAAAAAAAATCTGTATATAAAAGGTATCTGAATCAGTGCTCATCATCTTAAAAACACATGTTTGAAAAGAATTGCTGTCTGCATAACCCTAGTCAGGTAAATCAAACTAAAAGCAGAAATACATGAAAATTACAGAAAAGGTTAGTTTAAAAGGAGGAGAATTTCATCCAAAATGGGGGCTGGGTGGTAAGAAAAAAAGAAACAATCTGCCTAATAAAATGTATAATTTCACTAAATAATGTTCTGATAACGAACTAAAAGCTTACTCTGCTGAATCAGGTGACACAATGTCAGTATAAAAGCATAAAAATTCAACCATTAGATAAAAACCAGGAACTAAAATGCTAATACACTAACACACACACACCTTTCAACTTAATTTTTTTGTTTAATTTCAGACCTAAAAACTTCAAACTATAGCTATTTCACATATGGAAGTTTCAAACACAAAACCTTCAAACTACAGCTATTAGATAAATGAAAACAAAGTTGAAATCTTGCTAAGCAATTGATTCTTGGAACACTAAAAAGGAAGCCAAATGAAAGCACTACTTTATATATTATTCTTAGAAGAACAATTATTCTTTTCTGATATACAAAATTAATATAAAACTAAAGATTTCCCCACTAGTCCTTTGATAATTAATTGCCCATGAGATCTACGTGCAGGCAAAACACAGAAGAAAAGTAAATAATAATGAATGAATACACAACAGATTGAGAATGAAAGGATAGTCTGTATACCAAGAAAAGTGGGGGGAAAAACTGCATTGTAAACCTAAAACCAATAGTTACATTGTTTGAAAGAACAAACAGTATCAAAACATTAATTAGGCTTAATTAATACATGCTGTCTTAGATCCAAATGTTCATGAGTCAAATTCTCCATTTGCCTGCTGCCCCCTTTATTTTCAGTCCTGTCTGTAGTCTCTTTACGGATTTCCCTGCACTTTACAAATACTTTCCTTTCCATTTTATGGATATACTTTACCAATTTTTTAATGGATTGGGTGAAGTAGAATAACTCTCCCATATGTTCCTGACTTTAATGATTAATAATGTCAACTTGGAAATCACATACAGTATCTTTATATCTCTACCTCTTCTGGTCTTTATTTTTTGTTACCAACACTTTTTCCAGACTCCTGTATTTCATTTTAGCAATCTCCCGATTATAATTTCATGTACTGTAGTTTGTTGGATTTTTTTTGGGTGTGTAACATGTGAAGTAGGCAAATATGGCTTGTTCAACAAATTGTAATGGGGTTTTCACATCCCACATCTTAACTGATGTATACAGTGGGTATTGCGTTACTTCAATTGAAACAGAATGGCTTACAAAACAATTGTACTATGCCTGATATGTCAGATTTTGTATTTTCCCCAACTTGCCTGGGTATATCCAAAGTCCTGGATGTATCTAAACTCTAGAAGAAGTCAGGCATGGAAAAATCACAATGAAAATCAATAATGCTTTAGTGTACATAATCAGCTAAGAACATTTTAGCACCTGGTTATCAGAAATGATCAAAGCAGTCAACATTCGTTTTAAGGCTTCATAATGGAAAGGATCATCAAATAATACCTGCACCAGTAGTAGATACTAATCTAGGTTTGCTCCGTGCTCCATCTCCTTTGGTTGTATAGGCTGTCACAGTAAGGGAATAGGTTGTCTCTGGCTGTAATCCAGCTATGATCATCTCCTAAAATGATGTAATAAAAATATGGAATATCAATATATGGAATAGAGACCCTTCACAAGTTTTTCATCTTTCCATAAGTTACAATAACTTGCATTCAGTGCACAGAGCTTTCATGCTATCTGCAGATATGAGAAGCTTTTAGGGATATCAGAAGATGATATGAGTGGATAAAGTTTTGCATTAAGCCAAAAGAATGATGAATGTTCTGAGCAGCATGCCCTAAATATTTTTATAAACGTAAGGTTAAACATTGCTTATACTTAAAAGGCACAACATCACAACACATGTTCTTACTATTCATTTTTATTACAGTAGATTGAGTGTATTTGGGCTGCAAAAATAAAATCAAACTTGACAGAATAGTTGTGTTACCCATTATTTACAAATCAGCCATTCTGTTATCTTTACAGCAAGATTATCTATACTTTAAATTACAGAACCATGTTACATATAGATTGGGGTGTAAACTTAAGATGCTGCAAGCAGGGGTGAAATGCTCCTGGTTCAGACTGGATTGCCCAATCCGGTAGCGATGGTGGTGGGTGGTTCGGAGAATCAATAGCAAAAATCCCTGCCCCCCCCACCATGCCCAGCTGAGCCGCACGATCATCAGAGGCTTTTTTTTTTTTTTACTTTTAAAAGCATTTTTTTCTACAACCTCTTCCAATGAAAAAATGCTTTTAAAAATAAAAAAAAAAAGCCTCTGATGATCGCGTGGCTCAGCTGGGATCATCAGAGGCTTTTCAAAGCATTTTTTTCTGCAACCTCTTGGCCAAAAAAAATGCTTTGAAAAGTCTCTGACGATCCCAGCTGAGTTGCCTGATTGCAAGAGAGGCTTTTTAAAGCATTTTTTAAAAAGTCTCTCTGACGATCCCAGCTGAGTTGCCTGATTGGCAGAGAGGTTTTTCAAAGCATTAGAAAAAATGCTTTGAAAAGTTAAAAAAAAAAAAGTTGGCCACGCACACCCAGTCACATGACCCACCCACCCCACCAAGCCACGCCCACAGAACCGGTAGTAACAAATTTTACATTTCACCCTTGGCTGCAAGTGGCCTTGAACACCTTTATTGTAACCACTGGAGAGCTGTCTAACTAATATGGTTGAAATCAGTGGCATCTTTTCTTGCTATTTTAAGATGATGAATATATGACAAGTATAACCTGAGCCTGAAAACTTTTTTTTGCTGCTGCTGCTGTTTTTGTTGTTGTTATTGTTATTATTATTATTATTAATAAACATAATCTGCCTATCTCAGTTCTTGAACTTGATAGGTAGATAAAAATGCCAAATCCAGTCTAAAATCCTGGCTGATCATGTGAACAACAAAAATAATAACTAAGAAATATTTCCAAAAATTTAGATTTTAAAAAAGAAATTTATCAACCAGCCTATATGTGCTATTATCAACTTGCCTACTCTATTTTTTGCTCTCTAAAAAACGGTTTTATGGTAATTTTGGTAATTTTTTGACACCAAAATTTTTACCCCGTCAGCCTTTTGAGATGGAGCAGACTGGGAAACCACGATGTATATTAACACCAGTTTTATTGTAAGGCTATTGTAACAGTATGAATGCGTTTCCCCTCCTCCCTGCTGGTGTGTGTGTGTGTGTCAAGTCTGAGACAATTTGTCAAATTACATCCTTGCTTTAGATTCAGATTTCATTTATCTGACTGTCTTGGTTGCCATTTCTCTTTCTCAAGGTTAGTCTCCCTGCCCATTACATGACTTGTTATAATTTATTAAATCTATGATTCCATGTACAGTTCCTAGGAATCAGCATCACTGATCCAACAAATACAGGTAATCCTAGACATATGACCATTATTGAGCTTGCCCATAAACATTAAGCAGTACTTTAATGAAAATTCATTCTGGAATAAATTTTTGAAGCTCAGTCCTAGGCGAGATTTACTACTTTCAATAAATGTGATTTTAAAGGGTGATTCTAATTGTTTTTGCTGAGAAGGGAACACTTTGGAGTTCACTCTACAAAATGATGAAGCACAGCATAATCAAAATTCTACATGTACTTCTCGACTTAAAACGGGTTGCTTAGTGATCATTCCGAATTACCTGAAAAGGGGGATTTATTATCCAGATTTGAAGTTCCGATAGTTGGGTCTCCTTCATGCTTACATGACCAAACCCTAGGTGCTCGGCAAAAGGGTCATTTGCATTTTCCCTGTCACTGCGTTAAGTGTTTGCCAGCTGAGCTCCCATTCTAAGATTTACGGTAGCCTGGCCGAGAACCTTATCTGTAGCTGAGATAAGGCTGATCTTGTGAGACATTGGACTACTGCGCAAAGACTACATTTTTTTTTCAACTTCCTTTGTCCGTCTGTGAGATAACTGCTGGTAAGATGTAGTTACCTAGTTTTGTACTTTTATAATAAAATGTTTCTTAGAATATATACTTTGGGTTTTCTTTCTTTGAGAGTATACACTATGGAAAACAAGGTCCAGTCACCTCTAATTAATTACAGTTTCCCACAGTGTCTGTGTTTTGTAAGCACTTCTCACAAAACACTTCTAGCACTTCTATTTTTCAGCAAAATCACACCCACAGCAGACCATTTTGCTGTATGATCACTGCATTGCCTAAATGATGATCACAAAAAATTAATAAAACTGCTCCATTTTATGATAGTTATGACATACATTGTAAAGTAATATTAATCTGAGTAATTTAATCTATTATTTAAAATCTAAAATATCATTAAATATAATCTGAATATTTGATTTGGAACAAGAAATTATGGAAAATATATAAGCTCTATATAGTTATTCAATAGGAAATCTAATAGGATTTATTAATTGAGAACTAACTTGCAGCTTTTAAAATATTTTTTGAAAGGATGAAGATTAAAAAGAATCTGAAAGTGTTTATATACTAGAAACAAGCCGATGATTCGTTTTACATGCTGAAACTAATCTTTGAAATGATACAAAGGACTTGAGCTAGCAAAATTTAAGTTTTCTAAAATTCCACTATTTTTATATGCTTTATATTCTACTGATCTAAAACAACATATTCCATTATGTCTCAGCCTTAAAATGTATATGCTGTTTTATGTACTTTGTGCATGCACGTTAATTTTAATTTTCAATGCAGTATTACTCAGTAGTTCATGACCAAAATTTCCACTAGTTTCTTCTTCTGAATAATAAAAATTGGGAGAGCTATAAACTTTAGCAAGTTCTTTTTTATGTAACATATTAATGGGCAGCTGTAGAAACTATAACTAAACTAAAAATTTAAACAAATGAACAAATTATGAACATAAGTATTTTAAAATGAGTGACGAGACATTTAGAACATGTGTAGAAAATGGTGATACAGGTTTTGACTATTGCCATAAAATACACAGATACACAATTTGCTATAATATGGGACATCATTCTTTCCACCTACCTATCTTTTAATAATACAAATTAGTTATGCTCTGAGGCACACAAAACATGCTTTGTAAGAGTGAATACATGGGAAAGGCACACTAGATTCCTTTTCTCCCTAATAGGTGTATTTCTCATGCTCAGAAAATAAGAAAGTAGTTTCCATAAGCATTCTACAATCTATTCTATAACATTCAAAGGAATGTGCAAAGTTTTAAGCTGTCACACAGCCAATAGTACTATTGTGACTACTGGATCATACGAAAATTTATTCACAATGTTTTGAGAAAGACTGGTATTTTAAATTAAAAAATCTTAATTTCAAATTTACAAGCAGTATATGAGGCAGTCACATTTAATGTCACCATGCTGATTTGTAATTTGGTCCGTCACTCTTTTAAATGGTAAGCAGAAAAATATTTTTGTTTTTTTTCATTTAAATTAGTGTTATATTGTGATAAATTAGGGGCCCAGGAATCATCTCCATCTTTAACTGAAAGTGTACATCTTCCCAACATCTGAACAGCAGTTGAAAACTGCCAAGAGTTTTTAGACAATGAAAAAGAATAAATCAGAGAAGGCAAAACAGAAACAAAGTTATTTGGAGTTGCTAATTTTGTTAAAAGTTCTCTTCGTGATTTACTGTCTTTTATAATGATCAAATTCATGCAGCTAAAATATATATATGGCTGTGGTGAAACAACCTTTTAGAGATGAAATAGATTCTTTAGATCAGAAAATTTCAGAGTCAAAAATAACATTGAAAAAACATGAAAAAACAGTGTCATCCAGTGTGAGAATTCTGGTAAGCAATGTGCCATATATATTGAAACAACACTGAAAGTAAATAATTATTTTCAAAATGAATCGACCAATTTATAGGCTTACTTTATAAACTTTCCTTAAAACATTGAGTGAGGTAAATTTATATGTTTCTTTACAGAGTAAGAGATAAATGAAATATTTTCACTAGAGCTAAAATACAAGCTGGAAATTGAATTTGCTGATTGCACTGGTTTTTATTTTCATCCAGTAACTCATGATTATCATATGATAATCTGACTTTTAGCTTTATCGTTGGGTACATGTTTTTGGACAAGAGTATGATTAAGAGAGGAACTCTTTAAATGGTGATGAAAATATCTGATTAACAATAATGAGTGAAAAGCTCAGCTTTAAAAATATTGGTTTGAGCCAATACCAATGTATATTTCCACAAAAATGCATTTCAAATACATATTTAACATGGCATTTCATCAACTGAAATGAACAGGTTAGGAACTAAAAGAAAAGGTCTGTTTGATAGCAAATACAGAAAACATTGGGCCTGAAGAAAGCTGAGTTAAGTAAATGAAAATGGTAACTGCTTTCTTTGGGGAGAAAAAACACTTTGGGTACACTGCAAGATCCAGTTAGGCAATTATACAAATTTAACAAAACGTAGAAAGCAAAAGCATTGCATCAAATCAAAACAAAGGTGGGTGAAAAGTATTAACGCATGCATATGTGCAAGCAACCAAAAAATTAAACGTTAAAGCCATCATACTTTGTTGGGGAAGGCAATCAGTTTTACTCACATGTTCAGTAGTATCATCATATTCCCACTGATTGAGAGTAAAGAATGTTGGGAAGAAAAAACAGAAGAAATGAGGACGTATTTGTAGGCTACTGAAGAATCTTTATCCTTCTCAGGATAACCACACATGAAAATTAACTAGTAAAATCAGCCTGAATTTAGAAAAAAACTCCCTACAAATTTTGGTTTCTCTTTGATAGTACATAAATAGTGGATAATATTTCTGGAAAAAAAAAACATACATCCTATTTGAAGTGTTGTTAGTTTATAGCAATGTTTTATTATTGCATTAGTTAAAACTGTTGAGATATAATAAAGGCTACATTTTAGTTAATCATATGCTACTAAGCCATGTTCATTTCTATTTTACCTTGTCAAATTTAATTCAGTGCACCTATTTAGATTAATAGAGGCAATTTATATGTACTTGATACTTCATATCAGTAATGGAACCATATGACCAATAGCACACTCTGCTCCTTCTATAATTAAAGAAAAAAAGGAAAAAGGAATTTGAACTAGAGCCATAAAGGGCTGCCTATTTTCCAAGTGGGAAAATCTGTTCAAAGAACAGAGGTACAATATAATCATATTGTTCTCTTTCTAATTCCTGGAGATTCACAATGATCCAAAAGCATTAACAAGTTGTTCTAAATGTGCTAAAACATTGATATGAATAAGACTTACAAATATGTTAATTATTTAATACAGAAATTGGTGGGCGTTAAATCATCACATGAAAAAATGGTATTGCTGTCAGTAAAGTAATTTTATTGAATTGGAGTTTAAAATATTACAGATGCCGTAAAATCTTTCTATTTAAACAATGTAGTTCAACTCTAATTCGTTTTAGGGTATGATATACGATAGTTACATATTGCTACATTTCAAAACAGAATTAACCATGAATGAAAAAAGCTTTTTATACTTCATGGTTTATGATACCATCAGAATGATTTCAGGCTCCAAAGCTCATAAAACATATGTAATTAAAAATCTGTATTTTTAAAGCTTATTTAATATGGACAAATTTGCCTTATGGGAAAATAGGTTCTCTATGATTTGTTATATTCTGTAAGAAAGAATGCAGTGTAGTTTCAGTTTATCAATATATCATCCTAGGCTTTTCTTTAATAAAAACAAAGCATCTCATATACTATTATATCGACTATTCATCTCAAGCACAGTTTAATTTAAACATATCACTGAGTTCTATTATATTATTTTCAAATCCTAGCTCACTTGCATATATTATACATTACTAAACCAAACTGATGTAATTCAATTCAGAAATTTAAGTGCACAATAAACTTCATTTATATATTAATATAATTTAAAATACTTAACATTACCTGGATCATATGCATTGAAATAAAAATATAACTACAGAACAGAACCTATGCCCAAATCAAAATGAACTAAAAAGTGATTATTCTTCCAGAGCATAGGAGGAACATATTAAATATGAAATAATGTCAATATATACTATATAGTTTAGCAAGTTCTGTATATAATATTACACTGCCCTGATAATTGCAAACATCGACCGGGGATGAACAAGGGAGCTTCCACTATAAGAAACATGTACTTTGATTTAAAAATAGCCTATGTTTCAGATATGTTTTTCCTCCCATTACCACAACATATCCATGTCTAGAAATAATATTTATATGCAGAATAGTATGGTAGCCTGATTATCAGGGCCGGATTTTCCTATAGGCTAACTAGGCTTCAGCATAGGGCCTCAAGATCAAGAGGGGGCCTCAAGATCAAGAGGGGCCTACATTCAAATTGTTAGCAAAATTAAAATTACACTTTCACTATAGGTGAAAGGGCCTCATAAGTGGAATAGCCTAGGGCTTCTTTTCATCTAAATCCGGTCCTTCTGATTATCTGGTTTTAGATTGAAGCTTTCAGATTTCTTTTAGCAATAATGTACTGCAATGGGAAGAAAACATTTAAGTTGTTAATAAAAAAAGAAAAAGAAAAGGTTAGTGTACGAATAACTTGCTTTTCTTATCTAAATAAACTGAATGTAATTCATTACCTGTGCATCAGCCAACATGATATCCTTCAGCATAGGTTGGCCTCTAGGCTCTCCATTTTCCATCTTCACATAATGCACCTGGTAACCTCGGATTTGGCCATGCTGCTTATTGGGCACTGGAGAACGCCATGACACTTTAACAGATGTAGAGTTGACAGCCTCAACCTCGACTTTGCGAGGAGGACCACTAGGAACTGGAACATATCAGTGGATAAAAGAATTACAGGCACTTGTCCCAAATAATCAGTCTTTTTTTTCTTTTTCTTTTCTTTTTAAAAGGAGACCCCACAAGCCTTTCTTGAAGAATACAAATGAAAACACTACAAAACTGTTCTACATTTCAGTGAAAAGATCAAAAAACATGACTGATGCAAAAATGGAAGAAAAAAGAGTATTAGAGAAATAGAAAAACATGTAAAAATGTACAAAAGCCAAGGAAGATGCTTTGAAAGTCAAAGCATTAAAGCACAAAGAAGTATTTTAGCAATCAAAATAATACAAAACCTAAAAGACTTTTAAAATGCATTATTATATTATTATTTCTTCAACGGGGAAAAAGGCAATAGCAACGTGCAATTTGTCTTCAAAGTTCAAATATGAAAAACGTATTTCAAAATATTTTAAAAATTGAGAAGCATCAGTTTCCTCAAAGATACAAATATTTTATAATATGTGCAAAGACAGAACAAAATCAGAAGATTTTAAAAAGAGGGAAAAGTCTAAAAAAAAAAATCCACCTTTTTTGTATAGAAGAAAATAGGCCATGCACATTGGGGAAGCACTTTAAAGAGTTCTTTATGTTGTTCATAATATTTCTATTTTTTGCTTTTTGTTGTTGCTGCTTTTAAAAACGCAAAAGCAGGAAAAGGCATTTTGGATTTAAAATATCCGTTGAAATAGTTCTGGGGGAAAAAAAGATGAGCAAGGAAGGGAAGGAATACTTAGATCACACAAAGATAGCAGACTGAGAGAAAAAGTCAAACGGATGGGGTGGAAGAAACATACCATCTTCATCTGTCCGAATAAATACAGATTCACTCTCTGGGCCAGGTCCGACATCAGTGTGGGCTGCCACAGAAATGCGATATTCAGTCCATTTTTCCAACTGTTCCAAAAGGTACTGTGTAGTATCTGGAGTAATTCCCAAAATTTCATGGGGCTTGTCATCTTCTCCATCAGTTCCAGTATACTTGATGGAATAGGAAGTGATAATTCCATTCTGTTTTTCCACTGGAGGAGGTTGCCAACTTACCAAAATGCTAGTGGAGCTGGGGCTGTTGCAACTAATGTCTTGAGGAGGAGCTGATGGCTCTAATTTCAGTAGTGGGTTAAAGGAGGATTTGAGTGAGAGGAGAGAAGTGGTTGAAGAAAAAAATGAACAAAAAGAAAGAAAAATAAATAATAAAGGGCAAACCAAGGAAAAATAAAAATTAAATTTAGAAATAAAGTACTTAGACAGTCTTATGAGCCTTGGCTTATTAACATGAAACAACTGAAAATGAATTAACTAAAAAGTGGAAAAGGATGTTGGGGGAAATACATGAAAATGAGCCTCAATTTATTGTTACCTACCTGTGATTAATGATTCTTCTTGAAATAAAAACATCAAACATGATACCTCTATGTGTGTATATATGTATATACACCTGTAATATTGCTGAACTTATACTTTTAGTAGTTTCTTTCTTTCTTTCTTTCTTTCTTTCTTTCTTTCTTTCTTTCTTTCTCTTTCTTACTTTCCCTTCCTTTCTTCCCTTCTTTCCATCCCAATCCCTCCCTTCCTTCTCCCCTTCCTTCCTTCTTTCCTTCCTTCCTTCCTTCCTTCCCTCCCACCAGCTTACCCACTGACCAATCTTTCCTGCACTGTTCAATTCTGAAAAATCAAGATAGAAGTACCTGAATTTTCCATTTTTCCTTTTTCTACCTACTCTGTATTTTAAATTAAAAATTTATTAAAACACAATTGTAGCCAATAAAATGTAAAACATGCAGAATCAGAAAGGAGTTTTCATTTGTCTTAGTCAAAGATTTACCTACCATGAAAAAGTGACATGGCTGTTGGATCTGACTGTAACTTGTACTTACCATAAATGAAGATACCGTTTAATATTTTAGCTCCTCTTGGAAAAACCTTGGCTAGCAAAGAATTGAAATCTACTAGCAATTTTATAATACATACACCACCCACTCAACCCACACACAATACAAAATTACTAGAACATAAAAAATTTGATTGGTTAAAAAAGGCAAAATAATTTAACTAATATAATTCACTTAACTTCAACATTAATCCTTTCTACTCAAAAACTCAAGTGACTGTTTTTAAATAGATACATTTAAAATAGAGCTTTAGTTTATTAGTGAAATATTATTATTAAAAACTATAGGAAAGCTTTTATTAGATTACTTACATCCATTTTTATACATCACATTAAACTTGAAATTGATTTCTGGCCCCCAACATAATACTTAGAAGTCAATTTAATTTCTGTGTACATCCCAATTCTGTTTTATTGTTTAATGGACAAGAGCAAACTAGAAATAGTTATTTGATGAAAATTCATTATATGGACCTGGTAATTGTCAATAAAATGTTCTATGAAATGGTTTGTCCCTCAACTTAATTCTTCAAATTTTATTCCTCATGTTTTTGCACAGGGAGCACAATTGCCCTTATTTGGACAGTGTTGCAATGCTAATATCTGATTTCCTTATTTCCTAAAAAGGATGCATGAAATCCTTTTTTAAACCTTTGGAGTTACTTTTGCATGCAGCATATTTGTTCTTTATTTATCAAGATATTTATATGGAACGAAGCAAAATTTTCAAGATTTGAACTAATGTTGCATCAGATGCCATGCTACAGGATATTAAATGTGTTATGAAATGAAACTATCCACTAGAGGACTGATAAACCCACCTTTACAAACTATTTTTCTATAGATATTTATTTCTGTCTTCACTAAGTAACAAAGAATGCCCTTGTTTTCAGTGGTAGCCATTTTAAATTTCCTACAAGATCTCAGAATAAGCTTCCTAAACAAAAAAAGGAGCAACTACTCCCAAAAACATTATTAGAATAGCAATTTGTTGATCTCTCTAAGAATTAAAAAAAGTATCACCGATAGAATATATTTTTCTTTAGTCCTGCAATTAGCCATGGATGTTCCTGCTTGGAACCTATGGAACAAATCTGGGCATGGTACCATAGATTATGGTGAACGAGAGGAAGGTGAGATGCCCTTATTTTCCATGCTTAAACTTCTTTGCAATGTAATAATGTAATAATCACACCTTCTGTGCTTGTTAACTAGAAGAAGTATAAGAAAAAAATTAAGAAATCAAGGAGAGGCACTTACTTGACTGCATTGTTCTAGCTGAAATTTCTGTTGTTGACGCACCAAGACCTTGTGGAGAACGTGCAGCCAAACGAAAGTAGTATAAGCTATTTGGTTTTAGGCCTTGCAAGTGATAAGATGTAGCTGGATCAATAGAAATTCTCTGCTGAATGGTAAATTACAAATAAAGAATAAATTAATTCTAAGTTGTGATTTCAATCAAAAAATGTCTAATATTCAAGCATAAAATTAGGTGTTTTACAACAGCAGCTGAACATTACTGAAATTACTATATGTAGCTACAACTCCATGCCTCAAAACCATATTGCCTGAAATCTGTTATTGTACTAAGACTAACCCTTACAAAACTGGCTGGCAGTAAAAAGTACCAACATGCACACATCCACATAACAACAATCTACATAATGAAAAGTCCTAAATGAAGCAATCACTACATTTCTTCCATCGACAATTTATATAAATGGAAATCTCTTTCAACTAAGTCTAAGTTGTTATTAAGACACGAAGAAACAAGATTTTTCAAAATCACTGCTCTATTTCAAAACTACTGTAAGTCACTTGCTCTGTAAATTGCACAAATGAATATATAGTACTTCTTAGAAGTAAATTTATAGACACACACAAACATACATACATACATACACAGTCAGACTAGACACATAATGGCGAACCTATGGCATGTGTGCCAGAGGTGGCACGCAGCACCCTGTGGGCACGCAAACTGCCGCACATGCACGGCAGACAGACCGCATGGACAGGGGCAGAGCATGCATTGCATTTTGGGGGTTCGGACGTACATGCTTTGAGCACTCGGTCCGGAAAACATTAGACATCATTGGATTAGACCCTGCAATTTTCTTGGCAAGATATTGGAAGTGGTTTGCCACTGCCTTCTTCCTAGGAGAGAGAATGTGTGACAGTCCCAAAGGCATCGAATAAAGCTTCATGCCTAAGGCAGGACTAAAACTCATGGTTTCCTGGTTTGTGGCCACATGCTTTTAACTGCTCCATCAAAATATATCTACGTTTTTATACATTATAATTGATTGACTTTCTGAATAAAATATATGGTATCAAATTTATATTAGCAATGTTCTAAGCAAGGACATTCATGTCCTCTGCTTTTCTATTTAATATCTTTATGAAACCGCTGATGATGTCAAAAGTATGTAGATGATATCAAACAGTATATTTGTCTTGAGGCAGATAAAGTTGTGTCCAGAAGCCATTGGGATGGAAAGGAATAGATACAGGCAAAACCCTGCTAAACTTAGGTGGTTATGGCCAAGTAGATTTAGGAATTTGTTGCTCTTGGTCTTGGATGGGCTGTCAACAGCAGTCACGTCCCCATTTGAGACTAGGGAGCTACTGGATTCTCCTTACAGCTCCTGCTTGAGAATCAGGTGATGGCTGTGACTAAATGTTTGCACAGGTTCATCTTCTGCCCTAGTTGTGCCCATTCTTGGAAAATGGGAGAACATTCAGATGGTCATCCATGCCCTAGTTTATGGCACATAGCCGGTTGTTCCAAGAACTGAATAACAGGATAAGGTATCAATATGCAACTCTGTACATACGTTCAAATGTGTATAAAAAAATAACATAAATCAAAGTACTTATTCCCATGATATTTGCATTTGTTACACAAAATCTTCGTTTAGTGACACAAATGGAACAGGAAGCTCAGTCATTAAGCAAAGCAATCTATAAGTGAAAAATCACGTGACTGTGTTTTCGATCTGACTTCAGCTTTCATTCGATTTTTCAGACCTGTGAAGGCTGCAAATGCAGGGATTAACTGCAAAATTACTATTTTATTCCTATTTTGCTGCAAATTATCACTGCCCAAGGCAACGAGGATGACCTGTATACAATATGATCCATAACACAACAAATTTACCAGCTGTGTTAGAGTTACCACTACATTTTATCAGATAATATTTGGGGAAAATTTGCTGGTAATGCTGAGAAACAGTATCCAACCATGCCATGATACTATTCACGCTACAGGCATAGGAAGGAGACAGTGGCAGACTACTGCTAAAAAACTTCATGGACTTTGTCCAGGCAGTCTGAGTATGAAATACAATTGAACAGGAGAAAAAACAAAGCAGAGACATCTATACTAAAGTTGTATTTTGTTGTTTTGAATTCAGGATGAAGAGAAGGCTGGTTTACTATTATAATTTGTGCAAAGAATGGAAGTGTAATTTAGAAGATCTTGCAATAGTTGCAAAATGTTTTCAAACATGAAAAATAACAGTTTATTTACCTCTTCACCATGTTCTCCATCCTTGTAAACAAGATCATAATTGGAGATTGTATCAGATCGTGGTGGTGTCCAAGAAAGTAATATGCTTGTTTCAGATTCAGGTTCAGCTTTGAAGTTTAGTGGTTGTCCTGGGACTGAAACAAGAGCATATAAGAGCATTTACTCAAAAAACCCAAAGCCTTCAAGGACTCGGTTTAATTTATATAGGCTACAGTTTTTAAATACCTCATCTCCTAGTACTCTTCTTCATCATTGTGGTATTCGTGCCAGTTCTTTGTACTATAGAAGTATCATTACAGGTAGTCCTTGATTTATTTATCCAATTGATCCCAGAATTTCAGTTGTTAAGTGAAACATTTATTAAGTGAGTTTTGCCCCATTTTACGACCTTTCTTGCCACAGTTGTTAAGTGACTCACTGCAGTTGATAAATTAGTAAACCAGCTATTAAGTGAATCTGGCTTCCTCATCGGCTTTGCTTGTCAGATGGTCACAAAAGGTGATCACATGACCTTGGGACACTGAAACCATCATAAATATGAACCAGTTTCCAAGCAGCCAAATTTTGATCACATGATCATAGCGATGCTGCAAAGATTCTAACTTTGAAAAATGGTCAGGAATCACATTTTTCAGGGCTGTTGTAACTTTGAACGGTCACTTAGATGAACTGTTGTAAATTGAGGACTATCTGTATTTATCTGTTAAAATGGGTTGATATCTATCTATGCTGGTTAGAGAAATTGTGCGACTTGGAAATCCATACAGAGATTGAGAAACACTTCTTTAGAAAACATGAATAATAAATCATCTACCAGCTTTCTAGCCATGTAAACCCTTACTTGAAGTAATTCCAAAGGCTTTGTACTAGCTACTGTAACCTAATCATGGGTTTCTGTTTTAATGCCACCTTAATTGTGAACTTTTTTTATCTGCTAATCATTTCCTAGGAACAGCCCATTGCTAATGTCTTTCTAGGCGTCTGAAAATGTAAAGTGTATAGCAGATTTTCATAATGACAATAATTATGTACATTAAGACTTCATTGTGAAATGTGCAATTTTACAAATCCTAAGAAGCAAATGTATTTGCTTTAATTGTTAACCAAACCATAACACATTTTTAGACCTGATATCTATGTCCAGCAAAAAAAGCTGGAATACTTAACATTCCCCCCCCCCCCAGATCTTACAGCCAAGTAGATTTTAAAATGCATATAGTAGTTTTTTGTTTTTTTTTTAATTTGATTTATATGCCGCCCTTCTCCGGAGACTCAGGGCGTCTTACAATGCGTTAAGCAATAGCCTTCATTCTTTTGTATATTTTATACAAAGTCAGCTTATTGCCCCCACAAACTGGGTCCTCATTTCACCTACCTTAGAAAAGATGGAAGGCTGAGTCAACCTTTTTGATATCAACCTTTTTGATATCAACACACCATTATACCACTGATTAAGTTTAAAATGATGTTACAAGAGATGCTGTTCTTAAAGTATTTGTTTTTAGTAGCAGTTAGGAGGAATCAACATTGAGACTGTGGAATGGCTGAGGGGAGTAACTTTTTCTTTTGTACTATATTAGAACTGATCTTGCTGGCATAATTTTACTTGGAAAGGAAGCACTTACTGAATGAACGCAGTAGCTTCTTTCAGATCATTTTTAGGCACCCCTATTTTGTGTGAATGAAATTTATAAATGAGATAGATAAAATTTATGGATATAAATTTCCTTTCTCTACTTTCTTCTCCAGAGGTTTTGTTTTTAACCATCCTGAGGATAGGGACAAGAAGACAAATTCTGTTCCATGGATAGATCAATGCAACCTATTTTTTAATTCCCCAGATAGAATGGAATAAAATATATTTATTTCTTAAAACAAAATGCTGTACGTGTGTATATGTGTGTGTGCTATGGACAGATCAGCAGAGAAGTAATTTGTGTGTTTAAAAATTAAAAAAAAAATGATAATATTTTTATCATATAAATAAATTAATTGTTGAAAAAATGAAATGAAAAGAAATTCAACCAGGAACCCAAAAAACAAATTAGTTTGGAAGAACTTATTTATTAGTTCAATTTATATGCCGCCCTTCTCCGAAGACTCAGGGCGGTTTACAATGCACTTATAGCAATAGCCTTCATTCTTTTTGTATATACTTGCTTATTAGGGGTTTTGGCCCATAAGCGGTGTTTCTACCAAGCTTATTGCCCCCACAATCCGGGTCCTCAATTTACCTACCTTGGCAGGATGGAAGGCTGAGTCAACCTTGAGCCTGGTGAGATTTGAACTCGCACTAATTGTAGGCAGCTGGCAGCTAAGTGCTACATAACAGCACTTAGTCCGCTGCACCACCAAGGCTCTAACTAAGTCATATAACGTAAGATAATCAATCAGTTAGGTGATTTGAGTTTAAATTCCATCTGTTGTAACAATTAGGGTGATGACCTGGAGAAACTATGCAACCAAAGTTTCAAATAGGATTTCAGCTCAGAATAAGAAGAAAACATTAGAAAGAAATTTAAAATGACTCCACCTTAATTGTCTTGGGTATAAGAGGGAGGAAAGAAAAATGCTGTCCATTCTTTAATATTCATTATTGTTTATGTTTGCCACTTTTAGGGCTAATATCAATTTTGTTTGTAATGGCCACTGCATAGCTTCCCCAAAGTCATTTCTGTGATCCCTTATGGCTGTAAAGGTGTTTAAGTTATGGTTATGAACCATCTTAACCAAGTTCAGTAGAGATATATTTCGTCTACAATTTGGATATGGATTATTTTATAGTATTTTAAACTTTTAACGGTGTATCAGAATATATTAGCCATATAATATTTTAGATCTATTAGATATCCACTTTTATTTCATAACTTATTTTGGGCTTTTTATTATCTATACTGTCTATTTTAAATATTGTTTTAAACTTCAACTTGAATTAGTATTATTTTTTTCCCTTTCTTTGTAAATTGTAATACCTAGCCTGTAAAAAAAATACAACCAAGAAATAAATATTTTTGGATAATTATTTTTTTACTCTACAATTTACCATAAAAGAGCAGATGAGAAACTGTTTTTATTGTGGAGCAATCCTTTTGATGTTTTTGGAATCCCAATTTCCTAATGCTATTTTTTTAAAAAAAATATGTAGAGACTTTTTTCCTAGTAAGGAAATAGGAATATAAAGAAATATAATATAAGGAATATAATATAAAGAAAATGAACTAACAAAAAAATTGATGAAAAGATTAGTAAGCAAAGTTACAAAAATTGTAATTAGTCTCACTATATCACTGATGGAAATTAACCTTTTTACAGATTAAAAGCCTTTTTAAATATTAAATAGAAAATAGATTGTTTTTAACAATTATTAAAAGGATTTTAAAGACTTTAAATCTCTGAACTAAGTTCCAAATTCCTCTACTACTTTGTTATTAAGTAATAGGGTAAAAAAAGGGAGTAAGAAGAACTACTAAAACTTTATAGGTAAATATTTCTCTTTAGTCATATTGATATATAATATTTGTGAACAATTAAAATGTTCATGTGTTTCTGATTTAAGTTCTTTGGTCAATTCTTTTCCCCCTTAAAAATCACATACTAAATGCTAAATTATACCTTGCTGAATAATATGAAATATATTCTTGCTTAAATTTGGTCAAACTTCTCTTAGAAATTTGGGTTGTTACATTTTGCCATTACCGAGTATTCTCCAAACCTAGGTTCCCAATCTGATATAATCAATAACATCTCTCTTTTTCAATACTGTGATAAATTTTGTGAACATGTTTCTTAGTAAATGTCTTAATTAATTGTAGTATTTTTTGTTGAGATCCCTTGGCATTATGCCTAATTTTGAATTGTGGTTTCATTTCAAAATTTGATTTTTAACACTTTCTAAATAATGCCATGTATTTTTTTTCCCCTGTACTTTTTTTGGGGAGTGTTTTGCTTTTTTTTTTTTTTTTTTTGCGTATCTGCTACATATGGTAAAATGCACTCATGGCATTTCCAGCATTTGTTATTATATGATTTGTCTGTCTTGACAATTACTAACAGTTATTACCTTTTACCTAAGTTATTAGAATCTCCTCAGACTGCTTTCCTTTCCTTGAGAATGACTAGATAAGGCTTCACCTTGGGAGAGATCAAGCTTAGAGGCTGCTTGCAGCTATGCAACAACTCCAAGCTGGGTTCCTGCTTGACCCTTCCTTGCAGTTTCCCAGCATAACCATCTTTAATCATATTGCCTAGAACAATTGTCAACCCATTGCAAAACTGATTGGAAGAGATTACCATAAATTCCATCTTACCTCCTGTTTGAGTGATGACTTGTATATCACTAGAAAGTGGTCCATCTCCAACTGAGGTAAAGGCAAGTACTTTTACTGAATAAGTTTTCTGTGGTACAAGATTCCCAATGGTGGTGATATGGCTATCAGCCACATTATGTTTTAACCAGCTGTTGACATGTTGGGAAGGATCCATAGTGTAATACACTCTGTAGCCTTGTATTTGACCATTTGGTTCCTCAGGTTCTTCCCACTGCACTAAAATGGTGGTTGAGCTCAACATACGAGCTTGTACATTACGTGGTGCACTAGATGGTGCTTGCTCTGAGGTCCGTGTTGTCACAGGTTCACTGGGTGGACCCCTTCCTATGTTATTCACAGCAACCACTCTGAACTCATATTCGGAATATGGGCTTAAACCAGCCACACTATATCTTGTTGTGGCTACTCCATCAATTTCTTTATATAGTTCCTCAGTATTCTTAGGTTTATGCTGGATTATGTAGTAAGACACTGGTTCAGGATTTCCAGAATCCCAGGTCAAAGTAATGCTTGTTGCTGTGCTTTCGGTCACAACAGGAGTTCCTGGAGGTTTGGGCAATGCTAGAAAAATATAATAAAATTTATTCAACAGGGGGGAAAATGTAACTAGAAGAGAAGCATAAAAATAACTAAGGAAATCCATAGTTATCTGGAGAACAGAAAATATCTATTAAAATATAGAAGGAAAAATATGTATTTATTTGTTTGTGTAATTTTTATGCCACCCATATTATTCTGCAAATGATAAGCCTTCAAATATTAAGTGTTTATTCAATATCTTCCAGAAAAACAAATTATTTTAAAAGCATTAAAACTTTTCTAATCTTAAACACAAGTCTAAATGTGTTTTAACAGGCCTCATATACTGAATTTCATAGGAGAGGGGCATATAATAGAGAAGAAGAGGAAGGGCAAAAGAGAAGAGGAAGGAATGGAACAAAGTCAGGTTTTAATTTAGTTACATTTAGTTCCTACCCGAATAAATAAAAAAGACTTAGATCATAATTAAAATATGCCATTAATTTCAATGGATATTAACTACATCTAATGAATATTTTGACCATTGAAAATAAAAAGCCCTTTTAGAATATCCTACTGTTTTAAAGAATGCATAGTTCTAATTGTGAATATATGGCTCAATTGTAGGAAATTCGTCTAAAACTGACTGAGGATGATCCCAACAAGTTTATGAGACAGAAGAATCTTCAAAACCCCACAGGACTGAAAACATCTACACATTAATAGCCAAAATATTTGTTCCTGGTATTTCTGCTATTTTGGAATATTTTTTGTCTATGCTTACAAACCTGATTTATATCTTAGCTCTTTTTTTCCCTAGATTCTCATTGTGTAACTTCCACATTTCGGATTTTGAGCACTTATTTGTTTTATATCTCAAATAAGTTTACAATAATGATAATACTTTATATTTATTATAATACATTTATAATATTTATAATAAGTAAAATACACAGGAACAAAAATAAAATCAAATAAAAATAAATCAATACCATTCAACAAACTTCAACTAACAATTAAAGGTCTGTTGAAAATAGGGCCGTTTTTCTAAATGATGTTGTTTTCCTCAATAATGCAAAACATGTATTAAAACTATAGCACTCCACTGAACTGTGCATTCCACAACCTGGTGGCTACACAGGAGAAGAGCCACTGTGTATTGGATATGAGCTTTTGGCAATTGGGGGTGGTGGTAATCTTTACAGACAAGGTCAATTGAATTCACTTTGAGATAAAATTCAATTAGGTATAAGTTTTAGGCAAGTAATCTTAGAAACAGCTTTCTTGTCATATAGATCTTTTTATTTTCGGTTTGTACATTAAGAGGAAGTGGACAAGATATTGGGGAGATGAGCTTCACCAGTTGTTTATTTGACCTTAGCTCTCCAAGCCAGGTCAGGACTGATCCCATGTTTAATACCTGCTTAAGTCAGGGATGCAATCCTTCTTGATTAAAGGAGCGGTCCTGAGAAAAAGCCTTCATGTGATCCAGAAGGTCAATATAATAACCATCTGTAATCTTCTATTTCTAAATTTTAAAAAATGGTAGTCTTGCAACTGCAGATACCCTATATCAGCAAGAAACTGATTATTTGGACCGGTTTCAATCAGGGTTTGTCCTAGGCATGTTGAGGGTCTGTCTGGGCAGGTTCATAGAAGAAAGAATTTCAACATACCTAGGGAAAACTGTAATTGAAAGAGTCAGGTCATTACAATACCTGACAAGTCAGCATGTTCATATAGGATGTAGCAAGTGACCAAGTATTCATAAATAGGACTATGGGGTTTAACAGGTCCTTTGCAACCAGCTCATCTTTCTTCATCAGGCTGCAGCTTGAAAGGAATTAAGGCCAGCAACCAGGTTCTTCTCTTTTCCCATTTATTCATTCTTGTATCCTATTTGTCACAAAAACCTAGCAGAGACATTCAACCTTGGGCAGGGCAGCAATCAGAAAAAGCCCTAATTAACCAACATGGCCAAGATTTTGCAAGTTAAGACTATCTTCAATTTCATTTAGTCTGGCCTAGGTTTCTGGCAACATTATAGATTATTTCTAACCATCTGGGAATAGATTTGTAAATTGGCTCCTCTTTGACCCTTTTCCCATCTATTTTTAGAATTTATAACAGCTATTCTTGTAATCAGATGACAAAGAAGTAATTTTAAATTTTAGAAGAAACTTGGGTCTTATTCTAAACACCTTCAAACATAATATTGAAATTGATATTACACCTATAGCCTACATCTAATACTATGTGGATGCATAATTAATCCATTAAAAATTATTTGCAAAATTGTGAGTTACTACTAATTTTTTTTTTTTTACAAGCAGGTTAAAACATGCATATGCTTCAATTAAACTTCATACCTTTTACAGTTATCTGTGCTATTGCTTCTATAACACCAAGAGTGGACATGGCCACACAGGTATAATTAGCAGACTGCCTAACATCATTGAGCTCTAGGACATTCCTTCCAATTGGCATATCATCTTCTGGTGTCAGATCTTCAGCTCCCAGCATCCATTTTACATATGGCATTGGTGACCCCACAGCAACACAGGTGATGTTAACACTTCCTCCAGGCATAATTTCATGGTTAGTGGGTGGGATTGAGAATCTTGGTGGCACCCGGCGAACTACAATGAAGCACAAATAAAACTAATGACCCATATAAAAATTGGGAACTTAAGAGATTCCAAACAAGACTACATGCATATATCAACACAATTTAAAGCACTAATTGGTATTCTGAACTCAGAAAAAGAAAACTAAAGAGATATATTTGTACATAAAATTAATTCTTTATACATGATATTATTAATTTTTACCACATTCATACTATTTTTTAATACTTAGTGGAGATCAGCAATTAAATAAGTATACAATAGCAATACATAAACGTCAATACACACACACACGCACATACATATATATACAATTCTATTATTTATACACATATGTACAGAAAAAAAACTGGAAAGTGGACAGCATGCTTGAGTTGAATATTAAAATCAACTTCAGCGCTGTATACTTCCAGCCAACTGATGTAAAAAAATGTGTTGCATCACATCGTCACATCAGAGCCTTAGAACACATCACCTACAGTACACTGAAAATACAACTCTGATTTGCTTTCAGACCCAAAAGTGGATGCAGCCTCAAGACCTCACATTGACATCAAAACAAACATAGGAAAACATATATGTATGTGCATATGCATATGCATATGCATATGCATGTGCATGTGCATGTACATATGCATGTACATATACATATACATATACATATACATATACATATACATATACATATACATGTGTATATATATATATATATATATATATATATATATATATATATATATATATATATATATATATATATATAAATCATAGGAGAAGAAACAAGGCAAAGCCAGTATGAGTTCTGGATTTGATCATGCAGGCAAGCAAGTGACACAGTTTAAAAGGAATCATGCTCAGAAAAGGAACATTTTTATTAGGAAATAAAACTAATTAAAGGATTGGGTGGGAAATGTACTAAGACAGAGAAGATCACTTTTAAAATGTGAGGATAATATGGTAATTTGAAACAAATAGGGTTTTAAGGAGATAAGGTAAGAAATAGGAAGGTACTGGGTTAAGCCTAAGGTTGTTACGAAGCAAGTTATGGTGGTGAAGAAGAAGGGAGAACAGTAAAGCATTCCAAATTCCATAGTTTTCACATAAAAGGGAAAGAAAAGTAGGTTGCCAGGATTAAGGATAATGTTAAAAGCAGTTCTATGTGTACAAAATAAGGGATATTAGTATCTGCAACACATAGCAACAAGGTACTGCATTAACAAAGTAATCAGCATTTAAGCAAAGCACAACAGTAAGAAAATGATTAAGAATCAGTGTTCCTGCTTCATTTATTCTGTATGTTTCATTTGTATATTGCAAGTGTTGAAAAAGGAGAAGCAACAAATCGAGGCCTTTTGTTCTACAAAATACTGCATCCTTTATTATGCCAGCTTTTTAGATAAGAAGCTAAACTGTACCTCTCAGTGATAAAATACAGTAAATCAATATGGTCCTGACTGAGAGAAATTGACACCTAAGTCCTATCATTAACAATGGGAAATATGGGGGGTTGTTTTTAGTTATTTATATAGGGAAAACCTTAGTTGGGTCAGGACTATAAATTCCAGACAAACATTTCTTTAATTTCAACCTTCCTACGGGATTGTATAAATAAATGTCTATAGACATGAAAGAGGCTTACTCTGATGGCCTCATGAGTGAATGGGACGGGCACAGGGAGAAGAAGGAGCCAAACATGACTTTCAGCCAAATGACAAAAAGTTACACAAGCAAGTGACAGGCAGTGCAGACTCTGTAATCCCAAACAGAGTAATTTGGTGGTGGGGGGGGGGGGAGAAGTTTTGCTTTGTTTTTAAACTAAAACTAAAACACAAGAGAAGTTTTAGTCTTCATGCTTGGAGGAGTGCTTGGAGGAGCAATTAATTGCAGAAAGTCATTCCTGGATCAGCAGGCATCGACAACATAAAAGAAAAGGAAAGGAAACTGGAAGAAGGGAGGAAAAAGCAGGAACACTGACCAAATTGGCAAGGCCTTAAGCATTCAGGAGTATTACCGCTGTTGGTCATGCATCCAGACTTTCATCTTGTTTGACCATGCACAACAATCAGATACCATCACACATTAAAAGCCATGAGCAGGCATTCTCTGCTTTAACATAACACTAACTTTAAAATAAATAAATAAATAAAAAAGGCCACAATGCAACTACATTCATTTCATTTGTATTCTTTGTTATTGGTTTAATTAATAGTTTTGTAAGGTGGGTAAAAAAGTAAAAAACACACCAACCTTCTCGCAGCTCTGAGGGATGTAGGGGGTTTGATGCAGAACACAATGAAATGAGGAAAGGAGAAAAACAAGGGAAACACAGAGAGAGTAAAAAGGCCATATCAAGGCTTTCAATGGCTACTTGAACATCTTTTACTTGCTCTAGTCAAACCTTCCTACCTCAGTTCTGTTAGCAATTTTTCACAGCTATTACGGTGTTAGAAATTAGCATTATTGGAAAAAAAATTCCTACAGATAACAATGGCACACATGCCTCATGCAGTTTAATATTTTCAAAAGGAAAAGGATTAGGGTAGTTTTCTAAGAAGGCCGTAATCATTTCTGAACCTTTTCTTCCCCCCCAAATTAAACTGTAAATACTTTTGAGGAACTTGTATATTATAATGCTGTGACAATGTCATGAGCTAAAAACTGTGTTTTAAAAACAAAAATATCCCTTTGCCTTTCTAACCCACCCTTTCATTTAGCACTCTCACTTTGCAGAAAGATATTAAAGACTCAGATAATGTAAATTACGCCAAGAAGTTACAAAAGGGAATGCTTCCATGGATTTATTTTTTAAAAAATATAACCATTACATGGATCATCATTCATATCTACTAAAATTAGGTCACTTTCCTCCCCTTTCTTCCTCTTTTCCACAAAGAACAGGTAGTTCATTAATACATTGCTATGGATTACATATTTCAGCTAATATTTCAAATTAAATAGTGAATATATGGGGGAAGGGTTGACAGAGAAGGAAATCACCAGTCTTTTTCAAACTAAAATTTCAAACTAAGAATTTTCAAACTAAAAACTTTTCCTTTTAACAGAGGTCACATGGAAACATACCTCAATATTTTGTGTTTCAATTACAGTTAAATTAGTTTCACAGCAAGCAATACTGGGAATTCAAATACACCAAAATAAACAAAAAAAGGAAAAACAATAGAGAAAAAAACCCTCAAATTAATACAACTTTCAGGTAACTAGCCAATGCACGAAAGGTAGAAGTCAAGCTGTAAAAAAATACAAATATACTTACAAACTTTAAATCACAGGGACATATTAGAGTCAATAGTGCCTTTCTTCTTCCCCAAAGTTTTCCACTAAGCCTTTAGACCATTTCTCTTATGGCTAACTTTTCCCATAATGCCTTCAATACTACAAGTTGCTAAAAGATAAACCTCAAGAGAATCTTAACACCCTTGAGCCTGAATGAAGAGTTGATGCCAGGGTTATGTCATTCCTACCTCTGACATAAAGATTGGCAGGGGCAGAATAGCGAGTACCCGCACTGTTGGTTGCAACACACTCATATTTGCCTTGGTCAGATTCTTCACTCAATTCGATTTGGAGGGCACCTGTATGGATATAAAATATATTCCCAAAGAAATTGTCAAAAGATAAGTTTTTCAAACTCCTAACAATACACCGCTTAACAATAATGAAAAGCCCTGTAAGCGAAGATCCACTCAACGTCGGTTCATTTTCTCGCTAAGGTAACACAGACAAAAAAATAATAATAATGATGCGATGAAAAAAACAAGGAGATTATTTTTTTCACACCATCAGTACTAAAACAGGAAAACAATCTGCATTTGTCAAACAATTCTCTAACATAATACTTTTTCTCCTAGGCTATTAAAATGAAGATGGGTGAGACTGCTTCAAGGAAGTATGGCTTTAAAATAAAACAAAGGAGATTAGATTATTGGGTCATCACATTTGGTTTTACTAAATTCTACTTTTCGTGTGTGCGCGGTAAAAGTAATACAAAAGCGTGGAACTTGGCAAAAAAGGGCAAGATGGATTTCAAGAAAATCTTCTTCTGAAGAAGCCCAAAAATGTGCAGCAAGTACAAAAAAGGCTGCTTGAAGTGAAAAAGGAAACAAATTAGTTATTTATAGTAATCAAAAGAAACAAAACTCCCTTAAAGACATGCAGATTTGTAAGAAAAAGAAACACATTCAGCTACAATTTACAATCTTTTAGTGCATTTGCTGAAAAACAAGAGGATTGAATTAGAAGGCACCAAAAAAAGAAAAAGAAAAAAAAAAGAAAAAAAGTTTAAAAAATAAACAAAGAAGAAGCAACCAACCACTGCTGAGGACCTCGGAGTGGCCCCCCAAGACACCCATCAAAATCCACGACTGGGATTAGCAGTGTGGTGTCAGAAAACCCAAGAAAAATACAAAACAAGAATTACAAAAGACATGGACAATATTTATAAAATGATTAAAACCCAGCAATACCACATACCATTAAGAATATTCAATTATCAACATTTCAATTTTCAAAGCCTGGAAGATCAGAAGGATCGAAAAATCCATTGAAGAGTCAATCCAAGAAAAAAAATACATATTGTATTAGGAAGAAGAATGTGTTTATATATAAATATATAATTGAATTTAAAAGAAAAAAGTCTACTTGAACAAAAAGAAAAAAGAAACCCTTTTTAAAGACAGAGTTAAAAAGAAGATATTCCTTGTTGTCTTCTGCATGTCTGCAACTGTTCTCCAGACCATCTTGGCTTGGTCCAAAAAAAAAAAAAAAAAGAACAGCTAAGGAAGAAAAAAAAATGATCTTTTTTTTTTGCTCCAGTTGGACCAAAAAAAAAGAAGAAAGAAAGAAAAAAAAAGGTAGAAAAAGAAGAAAAAAGAAAAAGAGGGACAAATGATACGCTGTGACTGGGTTGTGGCCTTAAGACCTGGATATGCTTTCTTTGAAGCATATCGCAAAATAACAAACCTTTTTTCAAAAAGAAAGAATAAACAGAAAAAACACATTTTTAAATGTAAGGTGAAAAATATGTCAGGGAAAAAAAAATCACAAGATGAAAGTCACTGACCATAACTAAATAGGACAAAAGGAAGAAATAAAGATGATGACTGATTTAGATGATGCATTTATTTTTTAAAATGACAATAATGAAAGGGATGGGAGGACAGAAAGAATAAGATCATTCTGTGAACGTTAGTTCAGCAATCTTACCTCTTATTGGTGTACCACCTGGGTAGATAATATGAATGCAAATAAGATTAGAAAGAAGAAGCATTAGTACGAGAAGAAGGAGGCTAGGGCTTTGGAAGAAGAATCAAATTAGAGTTACAGAATTAAATAAGGACTTAAAGGAATCTTGTTTTATACTGTCAAAACAGGAATATATTTAGGCATAATAATTAGATTATAAGAAATAGTATACCAAAATGGGGAAGCCATCATCTTTGGAAGTGGGGTGAGGTGACAGGGGCAGGGGCAGGGGAGTTCCTTCATTCATACAAAACTTACACTTGGGATTATTGAGGAATAAAATATCTTATATATGTCTGAAAGCCTAAAAAAATCTTTATAATTCTACAATTAATCATAACAGTTTTGGAAGTGAAACCGGGAAGAAAAAGAGGGAGAGATACTGGAGAAAGAGAGAGAAAAACAGAAACAGAAAAATGGGGGAAGAGTTTATACTAAAGACTATATAAAAATAAACACTGAGTTTATTTTGGATTCTTTTTTTTTCACTTACTCTGCTATATCTACGTGACATTTGTGTTTTGTTCTTTCTCACTGTGAGTTTCTATACAACAACATTTCTGTGAAGGATTGTGTGTGCACTACTATCACATGTCTGGTGACTACCCTGTTAGTAAAATGCATGCCATGCATTTTAAGAGTAATAATAAGCATTATAATACCATAATTATAGTACTCTGCATATGAAAATTAGTGGGGGGTGAAGTGCGCTTCAGAACTAAGCACTTACCAATAGATTCTGGAGATTTAAATACGGAGAGAAGAGAGACAGCATAAAAATATTATTATATTCCTTATAATTTGGTACAAAATCTTTCAAGTTAAAGCTTTATATATTAAAGAATCTATGTCACAGGTGAAAATCACTTCTAGTTTTACATTAAAAGAGGTTTACTCTACACAATTTTGCTGATAACAAGCATAGAAGTTGGTAACAAGACGGCTTAACATCATCACAGATCAGAAAGGTAAACGTTCTGGGAATCACCTGATTTTATAGCATTATTATTTCTGAAGTAAGCAGCTTGTTACATTTCCCATCCCTTATATGATATATTTTATATGGGAAAAGCATACAACTTATAAACATTAGTTATATTATTATGAAACTGCATGAGGGATTCCATCTGGTAGGGAAACAGGGAAAGAGCTGCTAAAGCTGGACTCTACACGAAAAGCAGGCTTCTGTAGATCCAGATACTGAAATACTAAGGAGGTTCCAGAATCACTACTGTGGCTAGATACATCAGAAAACTTTTAGCCAATTCATAGTAATAATAACCATCATCATAACAATAATAATCTCTCCTTTCAAAGGATATCCCAAGGATAGTTATTATCGTTGTAGTAGCACTTTGTTTGTTTTTTTAAAAAATGTTAGTTAAAAATAGTATACAAGAAAAAAAGTCATGTGTTTCATGTATCAGTGAACGGTAGGAAGGTATGTCCCAACTGGCTAATCTTTGGTGAATTTCAAATGTTGAAAACAATTCTCAAAACACAATTGTTATATAGTATTTTAAACATCAAAAATGACAAATTTGGGTTGGATGAGGATAATCATTGGTACTCTTTGCATATCCTGTAGTCCAATGCCGATGGTAATAATAATAATAATGAGAGATAAAGGCAGAAGAGAAAATGGATCTGTCAAATACTGCTGAAAAGCAGTAAAGAAAACAACAAAAAAAATTGAAACTACAGTCACAGCAGTGAGCAATGTGGAATAAACAGAAGCTGCAAAACATTCTGGAGACAGACTATGGAAATTCTGGGAACAGACTATGGCTACAACACAGACATGGACAACACGCTCAACAACATAAAAAAGAGAAGGGAATAAATCACAACCCAAAAAATAAAACAAACACACAAATAAGGAAAAAGAACAGAAACAACAAAAAATCCAGGAAAGAATTATTTAAGGCATTACTGAAAACAGTAACAATACCTTACCTGATCGTAATTGCTTAATGCGCCCATTGTTGTTGCTCGTATCTACAGGTAAAAAATCTTTGAACCATGTTATTTCTGGATCAGGATTGCCGCTGGCTGCACATAACATAGTGGCTGTTCGAGTGCGCTCAACCACCTTTAACTGTGGTCCCATATCAATGGTGGGAAAACCACGTGGAATTTGATCCTCTGGAAAGAAAATAAAATATGGTTTATGTAATTTTTATCACAAACCTTATCTCTTTTATAGATGCATTTCAGATTCTGTGTATTTCAGGCCTATTTTTAATAAAAATTTTCAGTTTTTCTTTATAGGGTGGTAAGGTAAAGGTTTCCCCGCACATGCATGCTAGTCATTTCCGGCTCTAGGGGGCGGTGCTCGTCCCCATTTCTAAGCCGAAGAGCCAGTGCTGTCCGAAGACGTCTCCGTGATCATGTGGCCAGCATGACTCAATGCCAAAGGCGCATGGAGTTCTGTTACCTTCCCACCGAAGTGGTCCCTATTTTTCTACTTGCATTTTTTATGTGCTTTCAAACTGGTAGGTTGGCAGAAGCTGGGACAAGTAATGGAAGCTCACCCTGTTATGCAGCACTAGGGGTTCAAACCACTGAACTGCCAACCTTTTGATCAACAAGCTCAGCGTCTTAGCCACTGAGCCACCACATCCCTTTTAGGGTGGTAGGAGTACAAACCATGAATCAAAATAATTTCAGCTCTAATTCTATTCTTCTTAATCTGATAGGATCCTGATTTATTTGCAGAATTTCCAAGGGAAAGCAGTTAAAAGTTTTCAGAATTTGTATCTTACAAGGATATGTTATTGATTTAAAGATATAAATTATAACTTCCACTGACAGGTGAAAACAGTGGGGAAATGGAAGCTCTGTACCCAACTCAAAACCTATGCAGATTTTTGCTGCATGGTCAAAATAATTTGGTTTTTCATAAGCAGATACAAAGCTATGTGACCTTTTGGGGGAGACAAGTTTCCTAAATTTAGTGAAACTTATTTGTAATAAAATCTGTACAGGTAATTCTCGACTTATACCTACAACTGGTAATGGAATCTCAGTCATTGAGTGAGGTAATCATTAAGCAAGACATTCACATGTCAACTTTGTTCAAGGACTACAATCCTGGCACTTCTGGTTGTGGTCATTAAGTGATCTATTGGGTTGGGAAATGGACCAGACTGAAAGAGCTGCTTGCAGAATACAGCTCCCCTCTCTGTGTGGAAGGGAACTATTCTGGCAGACAATGGGAACAGAACACAGATGTTTGGGATCTGACCTCTGCTTCTGCACCTCACTGAATTCAACTCTTTTGCATGAAAGCTCCATTTCTATCCCAGTCATAGTACTGACATAGATTGAGCTCTCCTTGGCAGGCAGCCCCCAGACACGAGAGGAAGTCCTCTCAGCAGGCAGCAGCAGCTTGCAACATTCCCTACTGCTTTCCCCACTGAATTTCAGGAAACGTTAGCGTAAACTATAACCCTATGAATTTATCAGAAAATCTGTTTTTACCATTTAAATTCTGCAGCAAACTATAGCAAATATCAATTGTATCTCATGAGATGGTTTTCAAATTATTTCTACTTTCAAAATCCTATGTAATTTGAAGATCATATGTAGGGCTGCTGACTTATGTACAAAAGGCCAGAGCTCTTCCAAGAGTATAACATTAAAAATGAATAATCTAGTGCTTTCTCTGATTTAACAAGTGCGACCAGAATAAGAAAAAAAAATCAAAAATAGTATTCAGATGTGTATGTGTTGCTATTATAATCTAGAAATTACATTCAGTAATTTTTCATTGATTATAAAAGCCTTATTTATTTTTCTTTCAAACATGCCGATTTTTCTCCAAAACCAAAAGAAAACAGGAGAAAAGATCAATAGCTACCGTGGACTTATTTTATTAAATATGACTAGTATTGACATGCCGCTTTTAAGGAATGAAGATAATTTGTTATAATTTTTCCAGCATCAACACATAATTTCTTTTGCTAAAAAATGGTATGAGCATTCCACATATTTCTAGAAAAGCTTTCACAGGCATTTGAAAAAGTTAAAGTGATACCCTGGAAGACTTGGCCAATGTTTGCATTTCTTGATAACTTCCTTCCCACTTAGGGCTATGGAATCACTGAAAATATGACTTGTGTATATTGCTGTAACAGAATGGTATTTTCATCTTTTACCAATATGCAAGCTGACATTCTTATGCCATTTTGTATTGGATCTTGCCAAAGAATCCTACATTTTATAACAATTTATAAGATGTAAAGTTTTCACCTTGGGAATTACTGATAAAATATGACTTATGCCATGCTGAAGTAGCACTCTAAGGTATTTGCATGACCTTTCCTTTTCCTATTTCATTTACAAAGAATACACTTGCGCTCCAATTTTCTTATAAACATTCACACAACCAAGATAATATGTCTTGCATACAACTAGGGTAAAGAATGAAAAAGAAATTCCCTTTCTTATTTTTAATAAGGACAATTAAATTCAATCCATCCTTCTTATGCAAAGATTCTGTCTGAGTACACATTCCTCATTAAATTTCCAAGAGGAACATTATAATGTAGCAGATTGAAATAGTCAGAGTTGTTATACTTTGACAGTTGTGGCTTGTTTCCAATCTGGCTGTCAGGTATTTGGCAACAAAGCCTAGAATTCAGCATAAAATAAGATGAGAAGAAATAATGAAATTTGTAACAGCACCGCTTATCTCAGTGGGCATAAGTTTATATGACATTAATTGCTTTCGGTTCTACTTTAAATGTATTAATTATTTCTATAAAACTTTTCCAATTTGATGGCACAATGTTTAACAGCATATCAGATAACATGAACAATCACATCAATCAGCAACAACTCCTTCAAAAAGATAAAAAGTATTATTAATCGATACAGTAACAGCTATAAATTTCAACACCAAATGACAAACATTTTTCCTTCTTCATTAGCATGCACATTAATATAATCAGCAGGATTTTAAATACAATGTTCTCCAGTTTTCATTTTAATATTCACTTGTACTCAATTAGCTAGTCCTTCATCAATATTTTAAATCAGGCATGACTTTCATACCTTTATCACACATTGTCAGGCAAACAGACAGATTATGTCCTTGTGGTGAGAAAGATTTACAAAAAACATACACTTTAAAATACGTTTATGATGGTAATTACAGGAGACCTGACCGCATCACAGTTTCTCAGCATTCATAATGAATTATAGCATAATATGGGGGAAAATAAAGAAGAACCGCTATCAACTATGGAAGGACTAATATACCCGAATGACTTAGACAAAATAGTAAGATACAAATAAATATTAGATGACCAAGGAACATTAAACACGAATCAAGAATTAAAAAACAAGGGAATTGACAAAGATTGGTGGCCTCACTTGCAAATCCAGTCGAGATACAAAAAAGTCGTAGAAAAATATGGTTTCTATAGGAAACAACAAGAGCTGAATAAAATACTACAGGGGATGGAGGGAAAAATGATAAAAAAAAAACCATATAATTATTTACTGAGATTCAAAATGGAAGAAGAAATGGTTAAAGAAACCATGATAACCTGGGCAAAAAATTTCAGCTACACCATAGAATTAGAGAACTGGGAAAAACTGTGGGAAAAAATTATAAACTGACAATGTCAGCAGCATACAAAGAACATTTATATAAAATGTTTTACCATTGGCATTTGCCCCCAGCGAAATTAGCAAAAATGTTCCCAAACAGACCAGCAGAATGTTGGAAATGTAAACAGAAACAAGGAACATACTACCACATGTGGTGGACATGCCCAGAAGCAAAGAAATATTGGATAAAGATAAGAAAGTGGCTAGAGGAAATTACCAAACAGCAAATAGATGTAAAACTGGAGTTATTTTATTAAGTATATTAATAGGAAACTATAATTTTAAAAAAAACCAATATATAATGCTACATAGAATAACAGCGGCCAGAATTGTTTATGCGCAAAATTGGAAAAATGAAAGAAAGTAGACTTTCTGATGGAATGGTAATAAGGAAAATGCTAGAATGTGCTGAGATGGATAGGCTGACAATGGAAATATAAGAAAGAGGAGAAACTGAATATTATCTGATTTGGAATATATGGTACAACTGGTTAGAGAATAGAAGCAAAGTTTAAGGATGTTAAAGTAAGATAAGATGTAATAAAAATGCAATATATATATTTATGTAACTATAACAAGCACACAGTGTATAGATTAACATATGTTGCTAATCTTTAATCAACAGTTATAAAGAAATAGGTATGTATATAAGGAAAATGAAAATAACCTCTTTGTACATATGAGGGATGCTGATACTGAAGTGCTGTAAAGATGAAAATTGTGATATAAAATGAAGAAAATTGTTTAATAAAAATAATTAAAAAAAGAATTATAGTATCAATTATGTTTTGTTGCTAATTTTTTTTATTCTGCTCTGGCACTTATTCCACATGATTTTATTATTGTCAAAGAATTTTTAGGGTGGCTTTTACTCCAGACAATTATATTAGAAAATATCATGATAGCTTTATTATATTTTTACTGAAAAAACTCTGCAACACCACTTTGCCTAATTATTATTAGGCAGAATTATTCTCTTCATTATCAAAAAACTACTGAAAAATATGTGATACAAAGCATGTTTTATATTTTTACAAATTAATCCAACTAGTGGTTCCTAAATTGTCATGGTGTATGTGTATGTAAAGGTGTATATGCATATGTATGTGCACAAACAGAACACAATAATAATTTTACAACCCAATTGTAAAGTATCACTAGTAATTTTACAACCTAATATGTAAAATATTATTAGCAATATGACCTATAATTCAAATAACAAGGAAAACACATCCAGGAAGAAATCAATTATTTTTCCATTAACTGTAGTTTCTGACCACAGATAACTTCAAGTGAAGCAACCAAGTTCTACCTGTGAAATTTGCTGCCTCTGACAGAATAAGATGTGGGAGTATGTTTGATGTGGGAGTGTGTTACTATATTTTAGAGATCAACATAGATGTTGGTTGAAATAAAAGAGAGGTATTTTGACTAATTTAAAAATGTGCTATTAGCTGAAATAAATGTTTATTTATTCATCAAAATACCCAGATATTCTATCAGCTAAATCTAGATCTTTCCGGGTA